ACGGGTTCCCGAAGCAAGACCCCTTCCCACCCCACTCTTGCCACAGCTCTGTCGGGTTCTGTTTAGCTCTCTGACTGTCAAAGAGAACTTAATCTTTTTTCCAGCTGTAGAAGTTTAAGGCTAATATTTTTCAAAATCAGACATTTAAAATAAGGCAACTCTATTTAGCAACTTGCTAGAGTGAATTCTGCAGTGAACCCCCACAAAGACTCAGTTGGTGTGCATTAGGGCACTTCCACAATCCAGCACTGTTAGCAGAGACTGGTTTACCCCGCTGGTGTAATTATATAATTATACTTCCACTTCACTTAATAACGGTGTTGCATCACCAGGGATCCCACTTTATCATCAGACATTCAACATCATAAAGTAGATAAATACACATGGACTTCAAAAATATAATTTTATCAGAAATCAAAGCACTATACAAGAATTACTAGCCTTAATTAGATCTGAAGTCCACGTAACTCTGCACTTTCTGTCTAACAATGGACACCTAGGCATGTGTAGGCAGAGTACAAAAATCATGACACTTATTGAATAACCCTTCCTCAACATACCTTCCAGGACCTTTAGATCATGCCTGGTTTCCTCTACTGCTCTTCTCTCGACCTCTTCCAGCTCTGTTATACCATTTTTGACATGAGGTCAGCAAGTTGCAAACAGGATTCACCTCAGCTTTAAAGAATGGCTAATTTATATTTTCTATTATTTCATCCATTCCTCTGCCATTAGTTTTGGTTTGGGTAGCACCCAGCAAGCGTGCTGGTGTCCCATGGAGCTGAGAACCATCCCTGCACAGACCTTTCTCTGACTGTCAGACCTTCAGGCACATGCACTTGTCTGCCTTTAGGGTTATTTGTTCTATATGTACATTTATTCTGCAAATAGCAACTTTGAACATTCTTTGAGCTCATCTGGATTTTAAATGTTACTTGGGCATCTAGCTTTTAAATGTTACATCCTGCTCCAACTCTTTGCAGGGAGTTTTAGATACAATAGCCTTTATAAATATTTATTCTTCACAGTTTTAGTCAACTAAGTGATCACATTCCTTTCAAGAACTGTTATAAAAATGTTGAGCATCAAAGATCCCAAAACAGCCTTTGGGGCATGCTATTCTCTCTTCACTGTAAATTTAACCACTTGTTCCTCTCAGTCATTTAAGCAGGTGCTAACCACTGAGGCAACCTCTTCCTTTACATAATTAGAATTTCTTAAACTTTGTTAAGGCAACTTCTCAACAGCTTTTTGCAAACTGAGGTAGGAAGTATTTGAAATTTTACCTTCTTCTAACACAATCCATCTTAACCCTTCCTGGATTAGGAATTTAAAGGAAATTTATTTTCAAATCAGCAGAGCTGTGAGAGAAAAAAACAAAAAAACAGTGCTGGAAACAATTTCAATTTATGGATTTCGTTCCTCCTCCCCGAGGCTCTATCTGCCTCAGAAAGTAGTGGAAGGCCTCAGGAATGTGTTCTTATAGAGACCTGGTAGGTACCAATGCCCCAAAAGACAACCAATGTGTGTTTGGATGAGGGCTGCTTTGGACTATGCAATCAATCTTGCCTGGACCCTCAGCCATACCACCCATAATATTGGCAAAGTATATAAAGTCCCCAGGCACACCCTTCAGTTTAGTTATATCCTAAGGGATTCAGTTTTCAGGTTCCCAGGCTGCTACCAGACACAAAGTAAAGCACAATTAAGCTTTTAAACATCTTTCAGTCCTTCCTGCTTAAGGCTGATCCCAACAAAAATGCTAATGAAGATGCACTTACTGTAAAAAGCATAGCAGCAAAAGATTTCCCTTCTATTATACTAATTATAAATACTGTCATTCCTTCCTCATAAAATAAATCTGCACACAGTCCTTTAAGCTTTTGAAATCTTGTATCAATATCCTTTAGAACATACAAAAACAAAACTAAAAGAAAGGAGGAGCCAAAATCCTATTAAACTTTTATATTTCTTCACTGATGTCTTCTAAAGGGGTTAAGCACAGAAGACAAAGAACAGCATCACAGTTACATTTGGAATAGTGTGGATAAATGAAGCAGCAGATGGAAAAATCAAAATCTTGATTTTTCTGGACCTGTTTCAAGTTCCAACACTGACAGCAAGTACTTGGTCCACCTTTGTGAAAATTCTGTGCAAAAAGATACAAGAGGCTTTGTGTATTTCTCACAAATTTTTATCAGTATGTTATTATTAGAGAGCCAAAAATGTATTCATAGGAATGCAGAATTTGGATGAAGGTGCAGATTCTGCTTTTCAAGGCCTGTGTGCCAAGGTATTTCAGAGCTGCAAAGAGAATTGTAAACAGCCTCAGCTCCGTGTGTGCCACTTCCCTGCTCTCACCAGCAAGCGGCAGACAATGCACATTTTATTCATATTTCCACTCGTCCCTCTATTCTGCTTCAACTTTGAACTTTCAAAGTTTTTACAATAAATGGAGTCTGACAGTTTTAGTTTATTTTAGCAATAATCGCAAGACGGTTTTTTCTGCAAATACAATAAATGTTATCCAAGAGCAATTTGGAGTAATCAGTATTGATATTTATACCATGTGTGTTGATTGAAAAGCTCTTGGCTGTAAGAATGGAATATGAATCTACCCAGAATGTATTAATATCTTCAAACATATGCTCGTGTGGGAGCTATAAAAGTGAATTTATTATAATTAGTGGAAAAAAATAGTCTTGTTATAAACTAAAAAGAGAAAAGAAAGAGAAACCATCAGTTTGCACAGTTCAGCTAACTAGCTAACTTTTCTTATTCTGTTCTTTGATGCTCTTCTGTTCACTAGGACACACTGATCTTCAAGAATTCAAAAAGATTTTTTCAATTCAATATGATTTTTGGAGTATGAGAGAAAGGCTTTTAAAAGGATAAGAGAACCAAATTAGCAACAATTAAAAAGGAAAAAAAACTTGCACCCAAAAGGTTAATGCTGCACAAAAGATTAAAGTTTATATCTTCAATAGGTCAATTTCTTTGCAGAAGAAAGTATGGATTGAACAACTCTAAAAATGTTCTTTAGGTTGTTCATTCTACAGTAAAAACCCTCAGAGGTCACTGCAGCCAAGAAATTTAAAATTAATAATTCTACTACTGACATGGCACTAATATTCTTCACACACAGACACTTTATTCATTAGATGGTTCTTCTTGTGGAGAACTATTCTGGGGGCTAGCAGGAATCCCAAAGACCAGATGTGACACCAGTGAGAAATCTGCATGAGTAATGTCTGTGTAGAGGGATCCTGGATAAACTCCTGGCAGAACACGGAGAACAGCTCCATGGAGAACATGGAGAAAGGCTCATCCAGTGATGTTTCACTCAGTGAAACTCCAGGGCAAACACATCCTCTGCAGAGCAGTCAGGAGGAAGGGCAGTGAGGAAGAGGTGCTGCAGATCCAGCCAAGGTCTCCCTGACTCTACAAGAAGAGCTCTCTTATCATTATTTTGCAAGTCGGATCATTCACATCATCTTTTATCAGCATTCACAATGAAGTTCTCATTCTCCTACACTGCAAATGGACACATTTTTGGGTCCCACCTATCAGACAAATGTATCAGCATAAGGTGTTATTAAATTCAATCTTCTGAAGTCAGTGGTTTATTACTTTCCATCAAGGAAAGAAGAATAGGAGAACTCTGCTTACATCATTGCAAAAGTTTTTCTGCTTCCAGACTTAGTGACATTTTAAGACATGCAAGCTCTATTTTATTCACAAACAGTAATACTTACTTCCTTGGCAGTGACAGGAAAGAAAGCAATTAGATAAATCATTTTCTAAGTCAACACTGGTGTCTCAGCATAACTAAAGTTTGGCTCACCAATATATACAATTCTAAAGCATTTGGAAATCTACATTCCCATGTGAAAATATTAATTTATATTTAAATTGCTAACTGCTTACCCATCCTAACAATATTAATATTAACAGTGTGACATGAACTCTCTGCTGAATTTGAGATGTAGGTCAGTTATACACGGAGTTGCCAAACTATAGTTGGAAAATATTACTTCATCAAAGAATTAGCCTTGGTACAATGGTGAATAGCAGAGCCACATGTCCTAATATATGTCAGCCTGGCGCCACTATTGTATGCAGAGCTATTTGCATATATATATTTCTATCACTACCCTGGTTCAGTATCAACACCCTCTGATATGCATTTCCCAGCACATAAATGTGAGCAGCATTTATGTGGCTGCTCTGAGCTCGTTCTTTGCACTCACTTGCAACGTTCGTGGTTATTTGCACTTTCACACATCATCTTCACAAAAGGCTGAGCTCAGCTTATTAAATGTTTGACAGAATATTGCTGCTGTGACTGAAATATTACACTTCAAACTTCACAGATAGCAATGGTAAGACTAAAAAAGAAAATAGGTACCTTTCCAGCAAAGGGTTAGAAAATAAAATGAAGCAGTGAACTGCTTAATGCATGTTAATTCTGATTAATATTATTCTTCCTCCACAGATGTTGAGCTAGAAAATATCTGTATTCTCTCATAGCTCGGCACTTTCCTTTGTTTCCTCACTGCAGCTGCAGACTGATGGATCTAAAAGGTGAGTTTAATTCACCATCAGGTTTAAAGTTCTATTAGGCCACGGCTGGAGATTTCATTTTCAGTTTTAACAATAGTCTAGACAGATGTGCATCTCCAACAGGGATAAGGAAAGTTCTTTGATGAGCAAGTCAGCTGGCTATGCTCGCTATTGCAGTAAGATAGCCCCACACTCTGGTGGGCTTCAAGCTCTGTAGTGGAGCTCTAGACCACTTCTTGGAAAGAAAGCCCATACATACAGATGTCTATGTAAATTGAAGTGACAGGCAGAAAATAAATAGGACTGGTGTGGGAGACATGGCTAATAAAAACACTAATGATCTATGATTTTCAGGCTTCAGTGGTAATTTATTTCAATATATAAGGTAAATTTCAGATTCCAACATTATAAGCAATGTCAGTGCAGTTCTTACTTACCTTTCACTGGACATTCAATCAAAATATTTGCTCCAATTCTTGCCACGATTGAACTTCCAACAACTGTCGAGAAACTGCTGGCTTCCAGATTTGTCATATTTAACACAGAGGAGAAGATGACAGGAACCTCTTTGAAATTAAAGGGATAGTAAGTTTCAAAAGCTTTATTTAACTTCTAAATGTAGCTCTTGTGTTTAAATTCATCATGTTTGGAACAGAATTCAGTCTGCAAAGCAGCAGCCAGAAAAGACAGGTGGGACAGATATAGGCAGACTATGTTCACACCTGCTGTGGTTTTAAAGCAACAAGACCATCTTACTGCTGCCTATTAAATCAGGTAGAGTTTCATGGTCTGCCAATAAAAGCAACTATTTCATATTGCAGTGGGCATGGGTGTTTATATGCATATATTTATACATATATGTCTATGTGCATGTATATATATATGTGTGTGTGTGTGTGTGTGTGTGTAAAAGCCTGGTTTTGTGGAATGTCACTGTTTTACCTGCACGCAATAGCAGTGATGTTTCCATGTCAAAACCAGAGTCATTAACAACCAGGCATCCATAGGTACCAAGTTCCTTTTGAGTAGGATTCCGAATCTGCACTTTTCCAGTGGTCTCCAGGATCACCCTGCACAATAACCAAGGAAATACAAGGGTTACTACCATGGCACAAACCCAGCTGAATCCCCTTGCAAGAGTTAGAGACAGAGCAGCAAAGCTCCTTTTTGGGAGTTGGCAGATCCAGAGCAGCAGAAGCAGCCACAGCTCTGCCTCCTCTCTGGTGGCAGAAGCGGAGCACTCAGGGATGCACACAGGGAGGATTGTTCAGATCTCCTTCTCCTACAGGAATGTGTCCCACTTGCAGCCCTTGGAAGGGCAGTGCATTTGCTACCACAAACCAGGATCCTCTGGGCACAAAAGTGTGAATAAATCAGAATACCACAATTAAAACTATTAGGCTTGGCAAGAAATCGATCCCTCCAGAGCAAGCTTGGTTTTCAGCAGGATTGGGGAATTCACAAATCTATGGCCTGATCTGACTTTCAAATTACTATGGGGCTGGGGTTGTTGGGGCTTTTTAAAAATATCATCATTGAAGATAAAGTCTTCCACCAAAACCTCACAGGCATCTTGAATACCTTGCCTGTCCTCGGAGGAGGATCACAGCCTGGGGAAGAGGCTGAAAATTACTTTTCTCCTCTGTTATCTTTCTCAGCACAAAGTTACATGACTTGCCACACATGACTCAGCACATCCCAAAAATGTGCAGCTGGTGTTTTCCCACACTGAGTACATTTACACAATAGATTAACAAAACCCAAAAAATTAATAATACTTGTGTCTCTTGTGTCTCAACAAAACAAGCCGCGTCATGCATGGCTCAAGTCCATCCTTCTTTACAAACCTGACAGATAAAGACCATTTACCTCCTCACACTCTTTCAGATGCAATGCTATTAACATCCCTTTGAGTCCACATACATATATGTAAATTTATGTATAAGAAACCTTACTGGGAAAAGAATTTTCATATTTTGCTAATCTATGCCTTAAGTGCAAGAATATCAGTCTGGGCTAAAATTAGGACGCAAACATATTTGTGAATAAACAAAACACCATCATGTTCACAAAAACTGAAGCATCACTTGCCACAAATTAATGGAAAATTATGCACATGTCACAAAACAAACATAACTGTTGGGAGCAACATGGTTCCAAAAACATTTTCAATTTTTAAAACGGCTTAGTTTGGGTATCTTTGCTTTAATTGATACTCCTGGAGAAGTGTATTTTTCTTGGCAGTGCATTTAATCAGTTAAATATATTGAGAAATATCCAACAGCACCTTTATCGTTTCAGAACCAGTTTTTTCATTACTCAAGAGCTAGCTGTAATTCCAAGAGGCTCACACACAAAGTTAATGTTAATATTACCAGGTGAGCTTCTAATTTATCAGCACTGAAGTAGAAGTATTTGCTCAGTCTTGAGCAAATATCTGATTGTAACAGCTTAGCTTGCTGTTCTCATTTGTCAGCTCTCAAATGTGATGGTAAAACAGGTTCTTTATTATTCTGAATGTCACTGTCCTCAACAGAAATATTTTAAAGTATTGAAAAACATCCTCATATTTTTATTTTTCAATTGAAGTTATGCAGCTTCAGTAATAAATAGTGTGTTGAAGAATGGTGAGGGTACCATTGATATTTTCCCTTCTTAAAATGAGTAAGAGCTAAGACTTCTTTTCATCTATACCATGGCAGATGTTTTTAATGTGTTCCCACTGTATTTAGTATCTGAATTAATCCAATAGCCTCTCTAATTTGAGCGTTTCTGACACAGCTGAAATGATTAAAGCAGATCAAAAAATACAGCCAGGACATCCAAAACACTTCACCTTATAAAAATAGTAAATCATCCTATGTAGCATCCTGGAAATAGCCAAACACTTGGATGTCAGTAAAGCCAAACAATGTGACTGACACTTGAAAGAATAAAAATAAATTACTTAACTAGAAAGATGGAAGGCCCAATGGCCATACTTATCTCATTTTTACAACAGTATGTTCTAATATTGCACAGCAGGGTGGATTTTTTCCGTCTACAGTGACATAATAAGTAATTCAAAAGTAAAAGAGAAACCATTTACTTACTTTGCAGAGGCTTTTAATGTCTCGCCATCTTTTGTCCAAGTATGTTTCACTTCACTCATACCAGCTGTTTCACACAGTAGATTGACAGCATGAGTATTCTTGGTCAGAAAAACTGTATTTCCAATTCGTACAGTTACTGTTTTGTTAAAGGAAACTTGAGGAATTTCCTTTTGCCTGATAATAACTGGAACCTTCTGGTCAAACATTAACTTATCAACCGTTTTAGAGCTGAAACGTTCGGATTCGTTTGGCGATTTGCTTGTGAGTTTGGAGGAAACTTTCTCATCTTGGGCCCCCTTCCATTTTTCAGCAGCTGGTTGTGGACGCCTGGATAATTCAGCAATCAAGTGGTAGATGAGCTGGGAGGCCAGGTCATCGCTGACTTCTCCAGTCTCGATGAGCTGGCTCATGTTCCTCAGGAGCTCCTCGAACTGTGCGGTGTCCATGCTGTAGGCGCCCTGGAGAGCTGCAGCCTCCAGGCGCTTGTTCCTGAACTCTCGAGAGCTGAAGTCTTCTGCTGAATTACCTGCAAAGCTGCCACGGCTCCGCAGGAATGGCTGATCATTGACTTGCCTGTCACCCAGGAAGAGCTCGTTCTTCTTGCTCCACATTTGCCACATTTTGCTCATCTTGTGCCATTTGGCCCCGAGGCTGTTGGCCTCGTTGTGATCGGGGTCGCTGGGCTCGCTGGGCTGCTTTCGGGGGGGCGGGGGCTCGATGAGCCTGTTGTCAGTCCCGATGAGTTTGAGCACAAAGGTTTCGTGCACAGAGCCTGCGATGCACCGGTACACACCAATATCCCCGGCCTCCAGACAGTGGATTTTCAGCGAGCCTGACTTAGTGATGCCAAGCCTTTTGGAGTTCTCTAAGTGCTGTCCATCTTTCTCCCAGCGGATAAGGGACTTCTGGAACCTTCGCACGGGGCACTTAATTACCACAGATGTTTTTGGGAGTAAGTAGGCTCGGCTTCCTATGGTAAAATTAATGCGCTTCTCCGGCCGTGTCTGAATATAGACTCGGTGAATGCTGACAATCTGAGGTCCATGGGCAGAAAACTTCCCTGGAAGCTTGGGTTTGATCTCTGCAAGAAAACAACATGTTGGAAAGCATCTAGTCACTGGCAGTCATACTTACAAAATCTGCTTTTCACAGAATTCTTGAAAGAGCTTTTCCTGAGTTTGTTCAAGTCAGACTGCAACACACTTTTATCTGAGTCACAAAAATGCAAAAAATATGAACAACATGAAACCATAACATTCCCTTGCTTTGGCCAAGAATACTATTGCTTCTTCCCCAAATCTCCTAACAATAAAAGGATACAGACAATATATACCTATGTGAAGGACTTGATAGCGCATACAGATATGAAAGGATATGTACAGATACTATATATTACTCCATATATATGTTCATATTCTAGTTATATTTCCTACTTCTGCCTCAGAAAGATGGAAATGAAGAAACTGATTTAAAAAAATGTGAACACATTATCACTTTCCCCGCATTTAAGCACTGTTGAGTGCAGAATGACCTAAATAAAACAAAATCTATCCAAAATGTAAGGCTCCCCTTGACTCTTATTTAAAATGTTGGCTGGCTGTGCTGGTTGCCTGAGTCAAGCCAAGCTGATAGCAGCACAGGAGGTGAAAGAAACAGTCAGTGAAGACACAGTACATGAAACAGGCAAAGCCACCCTTTAATCACAGGCTGAGGGTAATTAATTAGGGTTGAAAGATGAATTTCTGACAGCGTTGTGCCAAGAAAGTAGGGAGGGAAGGGAGGAAAGAGAGAAATAAGGCAGAATTCTGAGAGGCTGAATATAGTGATCAGATGAATTACAAAAGAAGGCAATAACAGCATAAAGCTTCATGCAGGCTGGGTATAGAGACACAGGGTATTATGAAGCTCCTCCTGCTCGGAACTGCAGGCACCAGGATGCTGGAAGATTTCTAGGGAGCTGCCTGGATGAGCAGCACCAGGGGCAGGCTTTCCCAGAAGGCTGGGGAGGCTCAGGGGGCTGCAGTGGTGGGGATGCTGCTGTGTTGACACTGCAGTGGTGGGGATGCTGCTGTGCTGTCACTGCAGTGATGGGGATGCCGCTGTGCCGTCACTGCAGTGGTGGGGATGCCGTTGTGCCGGCACTGCAGTGGTGGGGATGCTGCTGTGCTGGCACTGCAGTGATGGGGATGCTGCTGTGCTGGCACTGCAGTGGTTGGGATGCTGCTGTGCTGGCACTGCAGTGGTTCAGGTGCTGCTGTGCCGGCACTGCAGTGGTGGGGATGCTGCTGTGCCGGCACTGCAGTGGTGGGGATGCTGCTGTGCTGTCACTGCAGTGGTGGGGATGCCGCTGTGCCGTCACTGCAGTGATGGGGATGCTGCTGTGCTGTCACTGCAGTGGTTCAGGTGCTGCTGTGCTGTCACTGCAGTGGTGGGGATGTCGCTGTGCCGGCACTGCTGTGCCCGCTTTGATCCGCAGAACGGGTCTGGCTGAGAGCAGCAGGCAAGGAGAACAAAGCACTGCAGGAGCACCCCCAAGCCCTTCCAGGCCAGCTCGAATGGGCCGCGTGGGAAGAGTCAGGAAATGATGATGTTGGTGCTAGAAAACAGCCCGGTTGTGTTTGGTGACCCAGCGCTTTGGTATGTGACACAGACAAAACTCAGAGCCCGCCGAAGGAGCCGATGAGCCAGGAAATGGACACACAGATCACAGCACTTCTCAGCTCATCTGCACCTGAAATCAGTACTGCTTTTCCACCTGGGAGGTACTGAAATAAAAAGACAACTACAATGATGGCACAGAAATGATACAGAAAAAGCTGCATATACATGTGCTCCGAATATGCTGTGAAGAAATAGGTGAAAAGCGAAATGCTTCGAGCATTCAATAAGTGTGTACACTATAGGAACTACACCCTGGAGTGCGTTCTTATGCTTATAAAACAAAATGGTTATTTTCAATGTTTTGGGTAATGAGTTCAGACCTGTGGGGATATCATGGTTTCATAATTACACAGCTTTTAAATCGGCATTTGTTATCCAGATACAAGGTTCCCTCAACCATTTCACATGGTACAACAATTAAATTGTTTTAGGCACTCAGTTTACTAAAAGTATTAAAGTAGCATCCTGTTTTTAATAAATTATTGTGCCCCAAATATTTATTTTCAGGGAAGAATTCCAGTATTAAATCTCCCATTTCCAAAATCCAATTTACAGACACAGTAAGTGTAACTTTAAACACACAAATTAAAATACTTCAGGCTGTGGTCTGTTTACACTAGTTATTCCAACTTCGAATTAAACCCAGTGCATACTTATAAATATGTTAACAAGTCTCATCCATTTCATTTCTTTAAAAAGGACAGACCACTGACTCTCATTAGCAGCTCAACACTAAAGGGTGTGTGTGTTTTTACTGCTGGCTGGTGAGCAAGGCTGAGAGTGAAACAAAGTTCAGAGTTGTGGATGGCAGGCCATATAAATATATAAGGTCATATGAATGTATGAGGCCACATAACTTTGCATTCTCTAGGTCCTTACTGTCATTCAATCTTGCAGCTGCTGAGGTAATGGACTGTTTGGGAGGGTAAAGGTAAATCTTAAGGAATATGTGCTGGAGCCTTTGGACCTCATTATCACCTGATACAAATCCATCTGCATCTGTGACCTGTAATGGTCCTGAACAGCTTCAGCTGGGTTTCAGATCCTGGTGACCTCAGGGCTAGACTGGTGTTATTTCCTATTTCTCAGAGCCCGGAGTCAGGAATGTTTCTACTTAATAAGCACTACTAAGTCAGAAAACAGCTACTATTACCAGTCTCAGGGTAAAAGATTAAGTCTAAAATGACTCAGCATTGTCATGAGACAGTAGAAAAAGGCACTCATGTGAGCCACAGAAGCATCACCATGAGGAGGGAGATTTAGAAACTGCTCTCCAAGACAAGAACCCCCAACAGCACCCACACTGCTCCTCACCCATCCACATCATTCCTTGTCCTACAGAGGAGATGCCTCCTGCATGTTCCTGGGAATCCAAAGCCTGCTGCTGTCCCAGCCCTGCAAGACCCAAACAGGAACTGCAGGTGTGGAGCAGCCTCACACCTTCCCCCTGCTCCTGCTGTGCTGTGAGAGAACCTCCAGCAGATCTAAGCTGCAAAGGCTTCCCTGCTCCACAGGGAGCTGGAAATGGAGGGAGAGGACAGAGATTCTCTTTATGACTTTGATCTGCACCCATTCTGGCTGATGTTGTTCCCTCTGCAGCCCCGTGTGCTGCTCTCTAGGCACTGTGCTGGAAGCTGACATTAATATCAGTCTGAACTAAGCAATTTGCAAACCAGCTCCACTGCCATTCAACTATCCACAATTAATTAAATTCAGATAGATATGCAACTCAAAATATTTTATTAAACCTTATGCCAAGGACATTCCTGAAAGTCCACAGGGCTTTATTTAAGTGGAGTTTTGAACCTCAGGATTTTGGCATGTTAATCTGAAATGCAGGCCAGGAAAAGAAGTTTCATATTATGTATGAATCAGTAATTATTCTATTTCTTATGTTGTTTTGTGAATAATTTTTAAAGCAAAGCTTCAAAATGTATTTCTTCACAACACTGTGAGTTGAGTCAAAACATGGCTGTGTCTGACTGGTGATCAGAACAAGGCCATTTAAAAAGGCTTTTTGTTTTTCCCCAGCTCAAAACTAAAAGCTCTTTTTTTCCCCCTGTCTTCTCAGCCTCCTGCTCCCCAAATCTGCAAACCAATACTCTCCATTATAAAGGAAGGTGAGCACAGGTTCAGACATAAGGAGCCTGCATTCACATCTGCCTATTCCAAATTAGCAAATGTAATTGAACACACTCTGTATCAGAGGCATTTTCCCATTGCTGTTAAACAATTAATGCAACTCCCATCAGTATTATAACTCAATTGTGCTCAAATTGTACAATTTCTGTAGACAATCCTTCTGAAAAGATTCTTGTAGAGAAAGTAACAAAACATCAGTTTTTCAAAGAATGTCTGTACTGTCACCACTCCCTGTGCAGCTAATGAGGCCAGTATTGCAATTTTTACAAGGAAAGATAGAAATTATACCAAAAATTATCACTGGCACAGAGTTTCAGGTTTTGAATTCCACCATGTTAAGCAAAATGTCCAGTGTAATACAAACATACAGAGAAAAGGCAGAACTGGATTCTTATCTTTTCTAATGCCCTTTGTAATTTCTGTCAAATTTATTAATTTTATTAATTTTTCTTTTTTTTTTCCAGTTGGAATAGTGTAAATGATAAAGGAAAAATCAGATCAAATTGTGCATAAGAGTGAGCGGGAGAGGTATGCACCATAATATATATTCAAAAACTACTTCTTGAGACCATAACCTTTGTTTTTGTGTGGTAGAAATAAAAATAAAAGCAATCCTGCTCTTACTGGTATAGTAATTATGACACTCAGTTTGTGCCAACTTATGCTGTGATAGTATAGGGAGATGAGTGAATTAACGTGCATACAGATTTCTCTTTTATAAATAGATCATTCCACATCAGCAAGGAACCAGATAAAGTCACATACTTACTGTTGCAGGCACTCATCTGACAAGACCTTACAAGCAGTGAAGGAGACAGAGCACTACACATCGATCCATTTAATGGGACATATTGGCCCTTTGCTGTTAGGTTTTGGCAGGCAAGTTTCCTTCTCTGGATTCCAACACCACAGCTCACTGAGCACTGTGAAAGGAAGGATGCAGTCAAGCTAAACCTGTGGTTCTCCACACCACACATGCTAATTTTAAACTAGTTTGTTTTGTGGTGGTTTTCTTTTAATTTTTTTTAGTTCTGAAAGAGTTCACACACTCTACTTCATAGGAATCCTTGTGTTCAATAGTTATTAGACTCTTATATTAGTTACTAAACTCTCTCCACTTTTCTAGACAACAAAAATGTAAGACAGACAGTTTTTCCAGCAAGCAAGTCATGAATTAAAATAACATGACAGTGTTTATGCCCAGCCATGGGCAAAACAGAGCAATGAGATCAGGTACCTGAGAGGAACAACTCAGCAGGTTCTAAAGAGTCTCTGGCAAGTCTCTCAACCCTCTCTCTTAAGTTGTATTGCATGAAATTGTAATTGCAGCTTCTAAATTCAAATTTCTAAATCATTTTGAATGGGGAGTGGTAGCAAGCTTGCATAAAACAGAAAGGAGGAGGAGATATTCCAGAATAATGCAAAGATTTGCTTTTTGGAAGCCATACCATGAAATCATTGATAGCTAAACATGTCCTTCAGCGACTGAAGCAGTGCCCAGGAAGGGGGCAGTGACCAGTCTGGGGGCAGGCAGGGATGCACAGTTTAGTTCAGGACAGGCCTTGTGACAGCTCCAGCAGCCCTGGCAGCTCCAAAAGCTCAGTTACCCAGGCAGAAATCCTCAGAGCTTTTGTTGCAATGGAGGGTTTTGTTTCACCATTATTGAGGTTTGCTCACCTTGGACCATTCTCCAAAGACCAGCTGAGGAGGACAATCAACTTTTGCACATGCTTTACTAGTTGGCAATTTGGGCTCCTGGCAGGTGTCATCAGGGTGTTTCAGGAAACTTCCATCTGTCAGCAGCTGCTTACAGGACACTCTGCGGGTCTGAATCCCTCCTCCACAGGTACGTGAACACTAAGGAGGAGAATCAAATACAGCATTTACACCTGCATGGACATCTGTGCTCTTGAAAAATGACATCTACTTTCAATGACAAATCAAGCAGCATGGAAAATTCAGTGTTAAAATATTTAATGTATTAGAGATGAGAAGTGGAGTTCAAATGTCAAACATGCCACATGAATGCATGGAAGTAGTAGAAATCTTAGAGAAAAACATGCATCTTACACATAAATCTATGTCACTTACCAGTTAATACATAAAAAAAAAAAAAAAAGAAAATAAGGTTATGGTGTTTAGAGAGCATAGGGAGAGAGATGATGTATGGAAAAACAGGTATCCAGCCTTCTGAAATCCTCACAAGGAGTTCCAGCTCATCCTGTGCTACCCGTGGGCACAGGAGTCTGAAGCAGTGCTTTTGGGTTAGTTTGCTCTAATGATGGAAGCTGAAACGCACCCAGCAGCTCGGGAGCTGCCTTGGTGGCCAGGGGAGCCCATTTAGCCTCTGTCTGTGACCCAGCCGTACCTGCTGCCACTCCTCAGCGGTCCAGGCAGGGGGACAGTCGATCTGGTTGCAGGCCTGCAGGGAATGAGGCCTTGGCTCCGCGCACCGGGCAGCGGCGCGCCCGGGCTGCCGGCAGGACACGGCGCGGCTCTGGATGCCCACCCCGCAGCTGGCCGAGCAGCGGCTCCAGGGACCGCTCTGCCACCTGCCCCAAAACACGGCCAGAAAATAAAAACACAGCCTTTAGCATCCCACCTCGCTCTGGGGAAGGGACAGTCTCATCCAAACACAGCCCCGCAAAAAAGCACAGCTGCAGGCACAGTTATTGATCAAGGGCTAAAACACCCCTTTGGTTTGGCTGGCGCATAAAAGTAGAAATTGGATTTATAAACTTGCAGGTAACAAGCAAATGCAGAATTTATTAACAATGAAGTAATAAATGGTCATTTTCAGACAAATTTTACTCCAGTATTTACCTTTGGAGTGCTTCTCTTAAAAGCAGCCTGTTGGCAACCTGCTGATGTTTACATTGATAAATGTAAATATACCTTTCTTATATTTACAAAACTTCCTTTAAATGCATATGTGCTCTATAAAACATCCTGTTCCTCTTAACTTCTTCCCTACTTTTAGCAAGAGCAGGTCTCTGCAAACACATAGAAACAATTTGCAAAGGATTTGGGATGTCAGAGATCAGAAATGGGTAAATAAGTCAGCATACATCAGAATTTCACATACGGCCCTTTCAAATGATCAAATGGCCTAGAGGTTTTCTTGGATTTAGACTGGATTTGTTCTTTCCCCAGAATCTCCAAAGAAACATAAGAGCTACATGGAGCTACTAAAGAAGCATTAAATTAATGTGCCTTTAAATCATAACTTCATTTTTTTTAAATTCAATAAAAAGTGAATATCCTCAGCTTTTCTTTTGTGAAATATCTTCAAAATTGTCCTTCTACTACTAGGAGAGTTAAGGCGCTTTTCCCAGCTCTGGCAGATATTCAACATGGAAGAGATTTATTTCAGAAAATGTTCCTTAATTCATCAGTGAGATATGAAGAGTGGAAAAGGAGTGAACAAGACCAAAAAAACACCCCAATCCCAAAACCTGGTTGAAAACGGAAGTAGTGAAATTCCATCCCAAAAGCATGACCACAGTCCTGCAATCTGAACCCTTTCTGAGAAAGCCAATGTTTATTTAAATCCCATTAACCCTTCCTTGGCCACCACATAATCCCATTATTACAGGGTACCTCGGCGGGCAGAGCTTCGTGTTGCAGGTCCGAGTCATCGGGGGTGGCCTCTTGGAATTGTCACACAGGGTTTCACTGACACCTTGCTTTGTGTCCACGTGCAGACACATGGCAATGGCTTCCTGTGTGCCTGCATTTGGAAGGAAAACACCCGTGAAAATGGAAGAGATTTCTGTAAAGCTTGCTCTTGAATAATAATCAGTGAAAAAGCACTGGATTAGATAGCAGGCTTAAAAGTAACATCTCAAGCAAAAAGGAATGCAGAGACAGTTTACATATTTAATACTCAGAAGATAGTTGTGAATTATATCTTAATTTTACTTCTGGGATATTTAAAAGTCTGATTTGACGTTTTCCACTCTGAAAACCAATTAAACCCCAGTTTTTTCTGTCAAGCTAATAGCAGAGGCTGCATCTACTGGTTCTGTAATGATCCTAAATCAGCTACTACCTCCACTGCCAAAACTGAGGTGAAAGTGATTCCTTCTCACTTACCTTTCCTTTAATAAAAAGCTGAAGATCTGCAAAAATTGTTATAAAAATGCAGAAAACTTGCAAAGCTATAGTCAAGAGAAACCTTCTATGTTTAGTCAGCCATTCTCAGTGGCCAAGAGATGCAATGGTTTTGCTGAAGGCAGAAAATCTGACCCAGCCTAGAGCTTTCCTGACTAGTTACCATTCTTGGCACCTTCTGATCTGCAGCTCTTGCTACCTGGATCTTATTACTAAAGCATGGAAGATTACTAATGCTCAAGTTTCTATGAGCAAAATGAAATGTAACATAAGTTTCCTTTAGAACAAGACAGCTTAGTGAATATACATTCAGTGAACTACTTCTATTTTAAACTTATGCAATTATCCAATTTTATATATCATATTTTTTTAGTATGAAAGCAAAGCCTTGCTCAATTCCAAAGCTCACTCACATTCACATAAAATAGAAGATGGTTGTGTTGTGCCTGGGGGATTCTGTGTATCTGGGTTGTTCTATACAAGCAATGCTAATGATCCAAATCCCATAGACCAAAAGAGCTGAAATCATAAAATAACTATATTGTTTCCAGGTTAAAATGGCTTTTGAAGAGCCAGTTTCATAGAATTTAAATTCCTTTCATTTTATCTTTTACTTATCTTCAGTGATTTTGTAAGGACATTGCTGACCACCAACCATTCTGATTCCAGTGGGCTGGAATACCTGACACAGATAGTTCCACCCCCAGGCCACTATTTCTCTCCTGTACACAAGCACTGTCATTTTTTCATAAACCAGAGTTCCCTCCATCTCTAAACAATTTTGATTCAATCCAGCCCAGGCCACAGTCCCACTTGAGCCAGTCTAAGTACTTCAGACACCTCAGCAGGGGTAAACCAGTAGCAATTTTCAGAAAAACACAAATTTCAATTTCTTGCAGGCTCTCTGGTACACCTCGGGATCCTCTCTGGGATTCATTTGCAGTTCAGAAAGACCTTGTTATATAAATGTTTTGACTACATCTACAAAGTGATTAATATAAAAGTCCTGGCCTTTAAAATTATTTACAACCCATTCAGTTCTCTTGTATCAAAGTATTGATAATTCTGTTAACATAGATAACACACGGTAAAATAATCTTACTAATCAGGTTGAAAATAAATATTAAACGACAAATACCATGGCTGTCATACAGGCATGAAAATGCCCAAAAATGACAAAACAATAAGCACAATTTTTGTTATAGATGAAGGAGAATGAAAAGCTTTATTTCCAGTCAATCCTCAATTGTTTGTTTAACAAGGAGCAGTTTCCCTTTCCCCTTACATAGGAAATGCACATTTGACTGTCTACAGGAGAGAAGGAAGCATTTAGAGTTGGTTTCTGATGGAAGCAGATTTGCCTTACCAGACAAGTAACCAAGTCCATGCCAATATATAATCTATATTTTAGGTCATAATCTACTCTATGCTACCAAGATTTGTCTTTGCTGACTACCCTGTGTTGCTGTGGGAAAATCTTGCTCCAAGGTGGTGCTTCTGCTCTGGAACAGGTTGTAACACATAGAATTGTCTGAACATCTCACACAAAGGAGGTGCATGAAATTAAATTCCCCTCAGACCATCTAAATTGGCAATAATGTCATGGGAATTTTTATCTTGGTGTTATATAAGCTAAACTGGCCAGCCAAATGAACAAAAGGCATGTCATACCAGGTGATGGGGTCTGTCTACAAATTGCCACCTGGAGTTCATTAAGGCATTCCTGCCTTGCAGCAGGACCTGCGGAGCTTTAATCACATTAAGAGAAGAAAATGTTGATATGTGGTGTGTTTTTCATTTGACTCAAGTACAGAGCACAAACTGCATTAGCAATTCTTCCCCATGGGGGCCTCAGTGAAAGAAAACTCGCACCCAGTTTTGATGCTCTAAGTACAAAATGGATACTAAAGAGTTGTTAAAAACCCACCACGAAGTCCCTTCCTGTTCCTTCATTCTCAGTTCAAGAACTATACTCAATAAATAACTGCACTTAATAGATGTTAAATTTGCTTGAACTTAACTGTCAAAATGTCTTCAAAATTAATCAGATTTCTCACCCCAAACTATAGTTTTCCATTAGTTGGGAACTTCAATTGATGATAAACTTATTCTATGTCGATTGGAAAATGGAAAAATCTATTATTCAAACAAGCAAAGTTTTATATATATGACTTTCTTGGCTTATAATATAAACATAGTAGATAATTTAACTAAAACATTATGTATGCAGCAGGGAGCATTAAGTATTTTTACAGTAATCTGATGCACTATTGTAGTAATTACCCTACTATTCAGTGAAACAGAATATTTTCTATTTTAACCCAGCATTCAAACCACATACATTTACATTCTTCTACAATCTTTTCTGTGTGATGAAATATACAGTGCTTGAAGCTGTTTTAAAAGATCAAAATGCTTGAATTAAGCCCAGAATTTCTCTTCCTGCATTTTTAAAGTACAAAGAAAATAGGGGTGGAAAGCTGCTGTGCAAACATTAAAAAGATGGGTCTATTCTCTATACCTGGAAGAGGAAAGACATTTATTTACATCAGATAGTCTCAGTTTGGTGGCTTCTTAAAATATGTACTGATATGTACTAAGCTGAAAATAACTCAGAAGAAATGCCAAATTCTACATATTCTTGAGCCTCTCTGTGCATCTATTTTATACTTCTGTAAGAGGGTAAACAACATCTGCAGTTAATGAAACAAATGATACGAGTGACCAGGTATCAAGGCAACTCCAGCACAAGCTGAGAGCAAATTCTCTCAGCTTTATTTGTGAGTCTCTGAATGGCCATTGTTTTTCTTAGAGCCCTTAAATTTGGCTAGAATCCATTAATATTCTAAGAATCTCAGGTTTCTCATAAATAAAATGGTAAACTTTTAGCCCTTATGGTCCAGACAAAAGCCTGAAAATGCAACTTGACTGCATTCTGAAGTTACCAAAGCCACAGAGGCGATAGAGGAAATAACAGGAAGTGCATATGTTATTTATTGCTTAATTTCATTATTTTTAGGCCAATGTAATGACTTTAGGTGGCCCAAATAACTGTTTTTGAAGCATATGGAGTATAAATAATAATAATTACATTTAGCCACCAAAATCTGCCTCTTGCAACTAAAGGTATATTTAAATACGAAAATGTTCAGGGATTTTTAAAATGAAAAACATCCCTTCAAAATATTGTTGAGTAGTAAATGATTGACAACTAAGAAATGCTAAAGAAATGCTATAGATTACAACAAAAACATTTTTCTTCAGGAATATTCTTTATTCTCATAATGATTATTAATTCCCTATTGATGATATTATGTAAATTAAACTTACATCTGGGAGTCTCATATCATGGCCAAAGTTCTTCAGATTGAAAAGAACACAAAAACAAAAACAAAAAACCCCCCAAAAAAACATTCAGGGAAAATGAAGGCAAATTTGAGATCCCCAAGCACGCAGCTGGCTTATTTTCAGTTTGGGATTTCTTTAGGCACTGAATAAAAAACCAGATCTTTAGATTTCAGACTGGTTACAGAGCTTCCTACGGGTTTTAAAGGTGATGTCTGCCCATGACTAACAGGTCTCGACAACTTTTATTTACACTCACGGAAAGACTGATGAAGGAAGCATTAATTATGCTAAGATGTATAAAACAACTCAGCTGCTCTCAAAACCGCAACTTGTTTGGCTCTTCACATGGTGTGTGAGAAGCCCCAGGTTTGGTGCAGAAAGCACACAGGTGACCCGAGACTGGGGTGATTGTTGCTCTAGAACTGGAAAGATGATGTTTGATAACACCTTGCAAATCACTCTCTGCAAGTCTAATACCCAAAAAACCCCAATGTTTCCATCTGCATTTTTTCATCTGCTTTGCAGAGGGACCAGAGGAGACTGAATTACAAGTCTAGTCTGTGTGAGGATTAAAAAAAAGGTGCAAGTGACAAGCTCTGAAAGAGAGATTCGGACTTTGCTCAAATATTTGCTATAAAAGCTTCCAGTCTACTTAGAGCTTGCAGAATTTTCCCTCATTCAGAAAGAGTTAAGTACCAAGAAACGGGGGCAGGGAGTTCCGAGGATACAGAAATCCACAGGAATTTGTTTTAATAGCCACTGCTAGATGCATACATACTAGAGAAAATGTACCCAATATAATTTACATTACACTGGGTTATTCCAAACTCAGACAACATTTATTTCTTATAACGAAAGAGTTCATCTAATTGAAATGAGATTTGAACATAAAACTTAGCAGAAATGGATCAGCTCCTTTGAACTACACAATGGAAAAATAGTAGACAGTGAGATCATTAGCTAGTACATTGCAGTGAGCTGGAAACAGAAGAGATGTCTGGTTCCCTTAAAACTATTTATCGGCAGGTAATTTTTGGTCTGTTTGAAAGCCTTTGCCAAGGCAGCCAGAAGACCAGAGCTGATAGAAAGGAAAAATCACCTAACTAGCCCAGCAACATGGGGGCTTCTGAAGCTGCTTATTGACAATTGACAATTTCCCACATTTCCCAGGAGCATCACATAAGGAGAATGTCTAGACACAGTACCAGTGATACCACAGAAGTCTTAAAAACACAAACAAGATATTGTCTTTCAAACTTCTTCAAGTTTGAGTCATCTCTACTGCATAGCAAAAATTTTTAGATTACTGTGAACACCTATAGGACAATTCTGGGTCAGGGAATCTCACAAATTCATGAAAGGGTCAGAAGTCAACAACAGAGTTCATACTCAGCTCCCTCAGGAACAAAATTTAAGCTGAACACAAGATTCTGCTCATCAGTCATTTTGAAGTTCCTTCCAATGAAACTGCTGTGCTCAGTGCAGGCTCCTTAAATTATCATCAACCTGCACACTAAGTGCAAGTTTTTATGAGGATGCTTTTGCAAGGACAAACTCATCCTTGAAGATGCAGAATGCAAACATGCACATGTGCAAAGACTAGACTAGACATTATTTCACCCTACATATCTGATGATACTCTCAAAGTTAAAAAATCTTGGAGTTTAAAGACATTTTTCAATGTTTTTACCTCTGGCAAAGACATTGGCTAAAAAGCAGTAAAGTGGATTTAAGATGGCAAGAAAATGGTTGTATGTTACAAAAATCAGTTGAGATACCAGAACCACAAATTTAGAATTAATGAATGGTTTACTTCTGCTTTATAGCACAATCTCCTTATTTCTAAAAACATTTCTCTTATTAAAATATGAAACAGAGTCACTCAGCCACAATAGCTGTCACTACAATCTCATGCTTCTACAAACATACTTGCACTCTCTCCTCCCAAGCCATTTATGATGCCCATTGCAGGTAGTGCAGGGAATGGGATGTTCCAGCTTTTGTGATCACAGGTGCTGTTACTCCTATGGATCAACCCCCTCAGTAAGCAGCAGTGTTAAATGATAAAGGAGGCACTATCTGTCACTTACCATGCTGCTGATCCCATTCTGGGGCATCCCTCCCAGCTTGTGTCTTCCAGCTTGGAGCTGGTGAGCAGCACAAAGGAGCTGTCTGTGAGCTCTATCTCTCTCCCCACTTTCAATTGTTTCTATTTCCCCTTTTTCTACATTTTTTATTTCTTCTATGGGTACAACTGTCTTCACTTCCCACTGATGTCAGCAGTCCTGTCATATATAGGTGTGTTCACAATTCCACTGCCTCCACTTAGCACTTCATAACTCACTTGTGTTCAGTCCCAAAGTACAGTAAGTAGTAGCAACACCAGCAGCCTTGTCTGGTAACATGTACTTAGGACGACAGGGAGATTCGATTACATCCAAGCAGGAATGTGCCTAACTACTTGCAGACAGATGTATGGCACAGAGCTCCCAGGCAGTGATACACTGCACCCAGACCCAAACCAGCTCCCGTTTGATCCTCACGCTGGCCAGGCTGCAAGCAAGTCTCCCTAATTACAGCTCTGTATTCCTACTGTTCTGCAGAGAATGGCAGCTTTCTGGAAGAAAAGGAGTAAACATGGGAATTTTTACTCTGAAACCGTACACTTTTGGTTCCTAGGAAAAGGTGGATCATCTAAACATTTCCACCACTGATACATCAGACATACTGGTACCAGAGGGCCTGGTGGCTGACACTCCTGCGGCAGCAAGACTAAAGCAAGTTGCAGTATCAACTTCCTGCACCTTACTTTACCCAATAAGTGTTTGCTGAAGGAAAGCAAGTAATTTGCAATATTATATTGAGAACCAAAAATATGTTAAAGCTTGCAGCTGCAGGTTTTAATACAAATCAACACAGTTACTTTAAGGTAACGCTAACAGGAGATGCAACAATACCAAACAATGCCAAATTCTTACAACTCAGGATAAATTAAGAAAAAATAAGGTACCTCCAAGACATGTGGCTGAACATGGAGTGAACCCAATATATTCCCAGTCATAAATCACACTGCCATCTTCAGCACGAGGAAATTCTGGTGTGTAGGGGACAGGATCACTGTCACAGGATGCCTGGTGACAGACTCGTTCTGTTGGTGGCCTCTCATGCTCACATTCCTCCTCAGGCAGCTCAACCTCGGTCTGAGTAAAGGCGAGAAGGATCCGGCACTTCACGTCTCGCACCTGGACGCCACTGCCACACGTGGCACTGCATGGAGACCAGGGCTCAGGAATAAACCTGCAGATCATCACAGCACTGTCATTCATTCCATGTGATTGTGCCTGTGTGTGCACAGCTAAAACACAGCCAACACACATAAACGGGTGTTTATACACAGAGCAGAAAATACGTAACACTGACGCTTAAACAGAATGCAAAAAAGGAACTTAAGTCTCTCACTTGACTCTCACATTCCAGACCATTTACCAAAATTCACACAAGAAGATGTAGGAAAAGAGGAGAAAGAATAATGAGGAAAGGAAAAGCTGTATCCTTTTCTGAGGAAAAAGGAAAACACCTAAATCTTTTCTGTCTCCTCCAGCAAGGAGAAAAAGGAGAAACTCCAGGAAGATGCATCTGTACAATGTAAAATAACTCCCCAGATACACAGACTTGGGCATATGCCAAAAGTATATTTGCAAGCTGCTTAAATCTGAGAGGGCCTCACCTTATGTCATACTAATAATCAGCAACCAGAGAGAAGAGAAGCACTTTTCAAATAGAGCCATTTCCAGTGCACACCACTGCAGGCTCTTCAGATTCAATCTTGCAAGCAGCCTCATCTTCAATAAAGAGGTCTAACCAGTCTACAGTCCATCATTTTTATTAGAAAGCGTTTATGCCCCTGATGAACTACAATAAAATCTTGTTTTACAGGTCATGAATTTGTTATAATAGTCTATGACTTTGAGGGTCACATTAATATCTCATAGTCATTTTCCAAATGGCACTAGAGACAAGGGGTTGGATTTCATTAATAAAGTTATCCTGGGTGGCTCTGGGGTGTACTTTATAAGAAGTCAAATAGAGAATTTCCTAGAACTTTTTTCCCCATGAAAAGGCTGCAATTGTTCTTTATTATGTGTCCAAATGTAGCTGATGATCAAAACACCAGCGGGAGATATAGGAGGATAATTTGACCAATGTTAAAAATTTATTTGGAAAGAAAGATCCAAATTAGGATTCAAGGATTTGGCCCTTATCTTGGATAAAGAATTATCTTTCCCTTCCTGCAGGAAAGCTGCCCTTACAAACATAAGAACACTTGTGTAAGAAAAAAATCAGTATTTACACTCTGCATACACAGTAAGCACAGAAAAATGTCAACAGTGTGGTTTGATTCTGTGCACAGTTTATCATCTTGCCAATAATTTCTTGCCAGTATACACAGAGGGAGAATCAAATAGAAGAAAGGAGAACAGATGGCTGGATAACCTGTAAGGATACTCTAAGTCAGTCCTTGGGACAGTCACCCAGGCTGTGATGGGGACAGACCCCAAAAGTGACTTTTTCTGTGGAAAAGACTATTCCCATTTCCAACAGAGGTTAAAAGATTAACTGGTTATTCTTTAAGGATATGTTAATGAAATAGCTTTACAGCTCTGCTACTAAGCCCATCAACATTTCCTTGAGCTGTCTCGGAATTTTTGTTAGAGCTCACTGGGCCTAACCAGCCTTCAGGAAAAGGCACGTTATCCCAGCTCCTCCTGGCACCAAAAATTCCCAGTGCTCATACCTTCACAGGTCTGAGCACCTTCTAAAAAGGCCAGACTGATATTTATTGGAAGGCTGCTATCAAAGCAGTGCATGGCTGTGTCCCACAGTGATCAAATCTGAGCAAATGCCAGGTTAGGAATAAATTTGGTTAGGAAAAAATTCAGGTTAGGAACAGCCCAACAGCCCACGAATCAATGGCACAGCTGGTGAGGATCAACCAGATGCCTCTGGTATAAATTCTAATGACTATTCTGTGGCAAAAGCTGCAAAGGAAGGCTTTCTCTTACCCCAACAGATAGAATCAGATTAATCCTGGAACATCTCACAGTCTTTTCAAAGACAGCCACGCAAACTACCTAGGGTGGCAAAATCACCTTTATCCAATGAAATGCTTCAGTATGAGCCTAACTTAAGCATATTAGCTGTGCTTTGAAGCCAACAGGATGACAATGTGTTCAGAGGGAAACTTGTGCTTAAGTGCTTTATTGGATCAAGGACAGTGTGCACAGGCTTAACAGAATGATTACTTTCTTCTCCTTCTTAAAAAGAAATAGGTCTATTTATACTTATGTACCTAATTGGAAAAATAAAATTGATGGACATTTATAGTTGAAAATAGTTGGTCTTCTAATTATACCTAAGTTTATAATCTGAAAGTAATAACTTCTTTTGGTAAAAGCATGACAGCAGCATACCAGAAATTAATGTTAGTTTTGTGTACTCTTAGTTGAGTGGATTTAAACATTCCAAAAATAATGTATTTCAAAAACATTATTTTGAAATCCTGTACAAATTAAAGGAAATTTTGAACCACAGCAAACATTTCACTCCGCAACCAACTGATTTATAAAGAAACTCAGAAAATTCTAAGCATTTTTGTCCTTGTCTTATAACAAGCCTATAGTAAAATTGAGCTTTTCATGTTGTATTTTTTCAGTGAAGTGCAAGATAAAAAATGAACACACCAAGTACTTTTTATTGTACCTTGGCATTTGCTAAACTAGTCATGTGACCATGTACCTATTGAAATCCTAAACTATAAAACTTCTCCAAGGATGATCCTGTTCAAGTCACACTAAGTACCTTCAACAGATGCCAATGGAGACTGCTAATATGAAAGCAGAGCAAGGAACTGGCTGAACACAGAGAGCTGGTTTTTATGTGAATTTTGAGTTCAGGCAGATGGGGATTTTTAAATTTTTCCTTTATCTTGAACATGCAAAAGCAAAGCCTGTGACAGGTCATTAAAGCAACCTCCAGCAGCCTCAGATGTGAGGCATTTTGGCATTCACAGCATACACATGGGAATGCTTTGGACACAATACTTCCCTGAAGAAAACTTGATCTGCCTTCAGTAGGCACACACTCAGAGTCATCTCAGGTCAGAATTAAGGAGTATCAAAGTAGTTGTACTACAATGCTTTGTAGATCATCAGCAATTTATAATGGACAGGATAGTGGTAACTGAAAATTTGCTGAGCTCTCTAGGTTTATAGATGACACTCCTCTTGTTATTAAAAAAAAAGAAAATAGAAAAATGCAAGTTTGAGCAGGTACAACTTTTTATGAACTTTTTTTACCCAGTCATTCTTCCCAATGCTACATTGAACTAAATTTCTCATATACCCATATGAGCAGGTATAAATAATGGAGACACTTCAGATGCAGTGGAGTGCATGTCCATGCTGCAGTGTTATCAGTCTAGCAGTAATGGAAATGTGCATTCACCTGGCACATGCTGTAAAAGCAAGTATAGGATGACCTGAGAAATGAAGCAGTGACCTAAACTAATGGTGATTAAACTGGCACAGAGCAGTCCAACTCAACCAAATCAAATCTAAACTGAAAACTGAACTCAGTGCAGCCCTCTGCAGCTTACTGAAGATTTGGAAAACATGGTGTCTCTTAATTTTTTATTTTCCTCTTGACCATAGTTCTTGCTTTCAGTTAAGACAGGAACTGCCTAAATAATGAGAAAAAAAGGCTGCTCTAACAATATTTCCAGTCTAGTCCTAGTGCACCAAGGGTTCTGGATAAGTCTAAAGAAGCATCTACAATGTTGGCTCTTACTGAGCAGAACTTCCAAGGTGCTGGCACCCTACCCCTCCCTGAAGCACCACCCTTGCCTGCTCTGAACAGAGTCATACTGCTGGTTTTATCAGCCTCAAGGGCAATGTGTTGGACAAAATCACCAGCCCATTTTCAAAGAAAGAGCTGTGAGAAATGAGTGATTCTCTATCACCAAAGGCACAGTGGGGACATGTCTGTGAAAATGACTCTAGTGCAGTAAGTGGGAACCTTTATGAGAAACACTGCATTTCACATCACTTTTGAGTTCATATTGCTGAAAAAATATATCAGCTTTTGAAAGCATTTTAGTTTTTCCCTAAGCAATGACAGAGAAAGGCAGCTGAGGTGTCTATTTCTTTAACTTACAAGTAATAAAAAGGATGCAGAAACTTGCTGGAGCTTCTCTGTGAATCCCACTGTAACTAAGAAGGCTCGAGGGAAGAACATTTAAAATAATGATTGGTATCAACTGTCATCACATTCCACAACTGAAAACTAAAAAGGTCAGACATACATTTTTCTTGGCCTCACTTTAAGGACAGTCATTTTTTATTTTGCTAATAATAAAAAAAAGAAGCTTTTGAACATTCTCCCTCTATGTAAATTCAGGACACCAGCCGTGGTAGACCACAGCGGCAGAAGTATTTATCTTCCACAAGCTACTTTTGGCATATCCATCACTTGTGGGTTCTAAAACACAGCTGCATTTATTCTCTTATTCATTATCAACTAAAACATTACACAAAAGCATAGAGAGAAAGTTGTCATAAAAGGATGGACTAGAAGTTGAGACTTCATATTGTGGTTTAAATTTGGATGACAAGAGAACAACTAAAATTAGAAGTGATTGCATTTTACCAAGGAAATCATAAGTCTCCTGCTAGGCAGAGGTAGGCTGTGAGTTATCACTGTGCCATGCCTAAATTACAGAAAACAAAGTTAAACAGATCTGAACCGGAGGGAAATCTTGTTATAATTTATTCTGGGAGAAGGAAAAGGCCACAGTGGAATATTTGGGTCACAGCTAGGAAGGAAGAATAACTGCTGTCATTGTCAGGACAAGGCACAAGGCACCCCATGACAGTTTCTGGCTCAGCTGTTTCGTTCTACATCTCCTCTGAACCAGCAATGCTGTGTCCCTACCTGATTGCTCTGTCAGACTGATGCTGAAGGATTCTAAAAACCCAGAAACTGCATTAGCTCATGGCTGCCACAGCAGGACTTTGTAATGCTAGAGATAATTTTCTTTATGGCTTCATGCTGAATCCTCTCTAGAAGTGACCTCATATACCTTCATTCTGCTACCCTGACACTTTAAACACACATTTCATTGCATCATCCCCCTTTGACAATCACACTTTATTTTTATTATCTTTGCTACTACCCTGCCTAAATTCAGGGCCACTGATTTGGAGAGTGAAATAACCACTCACAGTAGGCTGACACTTAACTTGAGAGGCTAGAGCAGTGAAAAGTTTAAACTACAGTCACCATAACTATATAAACACCTGTTTGGCAAAGGTTTTCTTCTGTGAGTCATTGCAGGTGTAAAGATTTTATTACTCATGGTCACACCTGTTGCTGCATGTGTGCCAAAAATCGGGAATAGCTTGATGGAAGAAGAAAAACAAGCATAAGGTACATTCCGCTATCAGAGCAATATAAATCCAAAGTAACTTCATTAAGCTCATCTAAATTATTTCAAACTACAAATGAGTGCAGAATTCAACACAGTACAATAAAATACTGTTCAAAATCTTACCATATACAAAGCTAATACTTATTAGAAATTTAAATACTTTAATGCCTATATATTGAATATATTACACATATAAATAAATGTGTGTGTTTGTGCATGTGTATGAAATATACACAGGGGATATAAGGAATTGTGTGGATGCCCTAACATACAAGGGTCAGGAACAAGTGTAGCTGGATTTAAGTTTTGCTTTCATCCTCAGGACTTGCAAGGCTTAACCTCATCAGTTTTTAAGAGGACTCACAAAATCCAGATGTTATTTCACACATATACACATGTAAAATAGCACAACTTACCCCCATAGATGCAGCTAAGCACAGAGATCAGCAGGTTTTTCTCACTTTATGCATTGGTGTCACCCCCCAAGGAAATCCTGGCAACCCTACAAAGTACCTCTTAAGTTTTAATACCACCACTACATTCTTGAGGTAGACAGCTACAACCAGGATAAAACTGAATTAACTTAATTTATTTCTGTCGAAGCATCTCCACATGCATTAATTAGGGCTTAATTGGGTTAAATCAAGATCCCTTTGAATTCCTGAATGATACAGGGGCACTGCAGTAGTGTAGCCCTGTATCATCCAGAACAGGAGCTCCAGAAGCAAAGTTACTGAGATGTAAAATTAGGAACAGCTCACCACAGGACTCATCTCCCATGGAGGGCCAACTGTCAAAGCAAACTGCATAGCAACAATCATTCCAGAGATCTGTAAAACACACTGGAAATGTTTCTTCACTGTAAAAGGCAGCATACTTACGTTGGCTCTTCTGAGACTGTGATGGTCTCTTCCATTTCATGGGCCTGTTTAAACCATGGCAATTTTGCTTCTACAGGACTTTTTTCTGGTAGAGGATAAAACCCCAAAACATTAGTAATTTCTTCAGAATCAAAGCAATATGTAGCTGTTAGCATTAATCGCCTCAGAATTTCACAGTTTACATTGCTTATTGATCTAATGCTTTTGTAGCTATAGAGGATAATAACACAAAATTTACTAGAAAACTTCATCATGCTGTTTGAGTTCCATTCTTTGTTTTAAATATGCAAAAATAGAGAAGGTAAAAGGAACGTAGTTTGAGTAAAACTTAATGAGCTGCTGAGTCACATTGAGAATGTTGACACTAGGACAACACATTTAATTTAAAGCAAATAAGAACATCCTAGGTGATACACATCGAGTTTCACTCCCATTTCAAGTATTATTGAACAACTTCTCGTCTCTGTGTTAAGCTCATTAACTCTGGTTTTCCCAATTTGACCAGACTATATAGATTTAGTTGGCACGTTCACCTCACGACAGTCTGGCCACATTATCAGCAAAAAATATCAGCAGGGCACTTCTCCTAGCACCAGTAATTAAAGTGCTTGTTTCTGCCAAAACTAAAAAAAAAAAAAAAATCCTAGTAAATTCCAGCTTCTGGCATTTCTGAAAAAAAGGTTACCAGGGGCTTTTAATTCTCTGGACAAAAACGTAAAACAATAACAGGCGCAGACAAAACTCCAGTTACCTTTTGGCTTGTAGCAGGGTATTGGCACGATGCACTCCTCCTTGATGTGCAGTTTGAGCTGCGGGTTGCAGCCCCCGACGTGCTGCCCGCGGTGGTCGATGCAGAGCACGACGCGGTAGCGCAGCCCCCGGCCGCAGGTCACCGTGCACTGCGGGACAGAAAGCGCTCAGCCCGCTGCCCTGCCTCGGGTGCTGTCATGGGGTTTGTGTCCCCAGTCCTGTGTTCTGCTAGGTTTGATATTGTGTTCTGTGCTCTCAGAGCTGACTCTGAAAGGCAAAGCAGCTCAGCCCGCTGCCCTGGCCTTGGGCAGCGTTATGGTGCTGGTACCCCAAATCATGTGTTCTGGTATGTTTGATATTGTGTTCTGTGCTCTCAGAGCTGACTCTGAAAGTGAAGGTTTGTTCTGTCTTGTTATCAGCCGGCTCACCTCCCCACCATGGTCTGCTATCTAGAAGAGGCAAGTGCTTGCTTTGCTTGGCTTGATGGCTTTTCCTTGCTTGCTTGCTCTTGCTTCTGCTTGTTTGTCAGTTGAGCTAAGCAGCCCAATTTATTTTCCCTGGACTTTTTTTTTTTTTCTCCCTTTACCTTTCCTGAATATCACTCCAACCTCCTCTGCACTGGGACCTGGGAAACACCGAGGAACACCAAGAGTCTGCATTTTCTGATCTGCAGCAGCCATCCCCAGTGCCAGAGAGTAATCCCCAGCACCCAGACCCGGGCCATCATTCCCAGGAGAGACTTTCTGGATTTGTCATCTCTTCAGAGTGGTGAAGGAGGTTTTTTTGTCATCTGGTATTGCTTATTTTTTGGTGCTGGGGAGTGTTTTGTTTGTTAAATAAACAGGGTTTTTTCCCACTCCTCTCCAAGAAAGTTCTTCCCGAACCAGGTGTGTGGAGGGGAGGGGCCATGGGAGTTTGTTTTCTGGGGGCTCCTTCCACAGGTTTTTTCCCAAATTTGCCCTAAACCAGGACATGCTGCCAGAGCTGCACTTGCACACACTGCTCAGAAGGATGCTACGAGCAGCAGTGAGGGGTTCGCTGAAGTTTTCCCACAGAGATGTAAGAATTTGCTCCTGCATTGCTAGGTGAATAAGCGAAAGGTTGATGCTGGGGAATAAAAGGCTAAGTTTTGGGAATGCAAGTGATTTCTTGGGGTTCTGTGACGCTTATCTGATTGGCAGCAGGCTGAAATAAAAGTGGCTATATGCACTGAGAATGCACTCTCTCACAGTGGTGATTTTCAGTCAAGGCTGGGTGAGGGGAGCTGTGTTTTCTACACTCTCGTGTCACTGATGTCATCTGGATGAACTAAGGAATTACAGGAGTGCTGACCTGACCATATCAGGTAACTACAGCCAGGACAAGATGGCTTAGGCTATTGTTACTGTAATGAAAGGTAAGAATGCTGGAAAATCACCCTTAGAGACTTGCCAGCCCCTGAGACAGACATGCCTTTAACTATTACAGCCAGTGAAATACTACATTTATCAAGAGCTGAGACATAAATGACCTGACTACAAAGGGGCCTGACCTCTAACTTCTCCTCCATGCAAAGCAGGAATTCAAGAGGCACAAGGAATTTTACTTTTGCGTTTTGCAAAAGACACAGCAACGTTTTGATTATCAGGCAGAACTGCTGAGAGCAAACTTTTTTCAGCACTATTGATTATCTTTCAGGGCTATACTTTTCTAATAGTCCTGTGCTAATAAATACATGGTAACACAAGACCAGAGGCTTTCTTTAGAAAACAAGACTGAAGGTCCAAATTACTTCTCAACTTACTTGAGACCACTCCATTGCCACCCATTTTGGACAATCAAACAGATTGCAGGTCTGAATGACTTTGGGCTTTGGTGCATACATGCATTTCCATTCCTCCACTTGCAATATCTCTCCATGGATGGTCTCCTCTACACACACAAAACTTCTCCTCTGAATACCACCTCCACAGGAAACTGAACATGCAGTCCACGGGTTATGTTCCCACCTGGAAAAAAAAACCAAAAAACTCATAAGTCTCATTCTTATTCCACTAACATCTATTAAAAATGCAAAATATTGAGTCCAGCCTTAGTGTAAATTAAAGTTTACTGGTAGTTTGGTTGCTGGATTCCTTGTTATACAAATACATTGACTAGGAGCCCTACCTTGCATTATTCAAGGCTTAAGTTCATGTGCAAAATCAGAAGTAGAACTGCAAATGTAAGTATATTTCAACTTTTATTCTCATATATAAGTTAGAAACTGAATATACTGAGTTTGATTACTGGAATAAATTTACTTTCAAATAGTCTAAATCATCTAAACTGAATACTTTTGACAATTAATTTGCATGATCACATAGACATTTATTACCATTGTCAGACACCAAGAAGCCCCTGTATTTAAGATCCTATGAAGTCTGAAAGGCAAAGACAAATCTGGCTGCCCTGACTGAGGGTGTTGTTACTTACAGGCTCATCGCTGCTCACATCATTCAGAATACCCTTAAAAATCTGTTCCTGAAGCAATTTTTATGTGATTTCTAATACTTTGGGACAACCCAGCCATTTCATACCAAACTGCCTTCATCCATAAGGCCTGCAATTAAATTAAATTGTGGCAGGTACCATTTGGCTGGTCATGACTGCAGTTTTGCAAGAGTTTCCCATCCTCATTAAAATGCCATTGAATGACCTTGTATTCACACTTTCCAGCTTGCTTCAAGCAAAAGCTGCTGCTCATCCATCTCAGCTGCTTTGGCTAACTCAGCTGATTGCTCCTGCAGCAGGGCAATGCACAGATTAAGGAAAATTTAGGATTAGAAAAGCCTGTGAATCAGCAGAGCTCTGGGGTAGTAGACTCCAACAGAGAGATGATAAACAATCTGCTGGGAAGAAATATCTTCAAAATAGACATCTATTCACAATCTTAGACCTAACTACAATAAAGATGGAAAACGTTGCACCATCTGAAGTGAGAATGACATGGATGTTTTTAAGCTACAAACTAAGTTTCACCTATTAGCATGAATGCATATTTAAGCAATTACCTGTCAAAAACCCCTGACTTCAATGATGTCCTGCTCTTGTCACATTTAAACATAACAAGCTTCTATCAAAGTGTTTGCCTGCAGGTTCCAATGACGCCCCCCCCCCCCCCCCCCCCCCCCCCCCCACCCCCCCCCCCCCCCCCCCCCCCACCCCCCCCCCCCCCCCACTATCTCCTTACCCTTTACCTCCTATCTGTTGCTTTCTTTCCATCACCCTCCAGAATCAAAGCCAAGCCCTTGGAAATGATTGAGTCCTACAGTACATCTTAAGGCTCACCAATAAGGTTAGTTAAACCTTATCTCTGTTACTATAGAGGCTCAGGAAGGATCATGAAAAGAACTGTATCTGTTCTGAACAATGGACTTAGCAAGGACTACAATATCCCACCAAAATCAATTAATCAAGAGTAATCAACATGGCTATCAAAAAGGAAGTCATACTATCAGACTCAATGAAGCAAAGGCCAATAAATCAAAGGTAAATTTAAGCAATTTACTTTTATGATGCAGCAGGCAAACCAAGGACACTTCTTATTTTAGGAAATTCATTAAGCTGCCTACAAAAACATATTAATCATGCTTAAGGTCAACAGAAGGATGAGTATGAAACACAGAGCAAGCCTTGGGACATCAACAATGGAATATATACTCAAAAGCATTCTGAATAAATCTGTGTGCTGAGATCCTGACATCATATAACAATAACAAAATGCATTTGAAGAGCAAGAGTTATACCCTTCTTTGACTTAAATGAATGGCCAGTGTTAACTAACTTTCTTTTAAAAAATTAGGAGCTAAAGAGCAATTAACTATTTAATGAATTAGCAGCTCATGGATTTATAGATGTAAGGCTCGCTGTGCTGTATGTAATATAAGGCTTGCAAGTGTTTATAGCGTGAAATTTTATAGTTGTTTTTCTTTATCTCATCAGTTTCAAACACACTCCAGATCCTACACTCCCACAAGCATTTTCAAGATGGAGTGAGGTCCATGGCTACTGGGGAAAAGGGGGGTCTTGGGCAAGCAGTCAAGGAGATACTTTCCAGAACCCACAGCTGTCAAGGGATCCTCAACAGTCCAACAAGTCTGAAATAAATGGAGGCATTCCAAAAGCTTTAAAAGAAAATTTTCATCCTGGGAAATTTTTCTATTTATTTCAAAAGAATTCTCCATCTGTAAAAATATTTCAGTGGGGCATTTACAACTCTAGCCACAGGAGAACTCTTTCAAGATCTTGTGGTGTGCACCACGACTTTCCCACAACTTCCTCGTGTGAATGGGAAAGCAGGGGTGCACAGCACAGGACCGCAAGGCAGCCTCCACATGGCCTGGTGTTATGGAGGAGGTGTGAGGTGGGACTGCTGCTGGAGGTGAAGCAGTCTGCACAGCTTTGCTCCACTATGTATCCTGGACTTTGGTTTTCTGCCCGCTTTGCAAGAACCATCCTGGGTCAGCACGCAAGAAACAAGTAAGAGAAGAGAAGAAAGCAGAGCCAGCACAGGGTAATGCATTTTAGCTCCTTCCCAGGCAGCAGCACAGACAAATCCTGCTGCACTGAAGCAGCACTGGCATCCACACTGGACCAGAGTCAAACTTTCAGCTGCTGTTTTCTTTCAGCAATTCTTGCAAGAAGAGGTTTCTATGTCTCTGTGGTGTTTCCTTAGGAATCCTCCCAGTACAGCACAGCCCATTTCCCCTCTCCTTCCTGCTGGCACCAGCTCTGAGCCCTGCTTGGCTGCCTGGTATTTTACAGTCCTTCCTCTGAAGCATCACCCAAGGAAGACCACGATGCTTTCTGACAGAGCACACCGAGGTGCTGAAACGAGGCAGGCCTTGGTCTGTAGTTCTTAGTGTTTGAAATAAGAGATCCTGCCCACAGCTTTATCACAGACATAATCTATCTCACCACAGTGCCATGCAAACGTGCTGAGCACAGTAAAGCGCAGAAAGGGGGATTAAATTTCTCTTCCAAGTGGTCTCCTAGCCCTAAGTGGTTCAGAAGATGAAATACTCCTGTAAATACATTAAGCTGAGTTCCAGGAGAGATCTGAAGTACAAAGGCATTGGCAGAAGAAATGGCAAGGGAGAGACACAGAATACAATTAGAGAACTCTAAAGGATAAAGCTATAGAGGAAAAAAAATCCCCATCTATGTATGAAGGCCAAAGTACATCACAGGACAGCAGATCCACAAGGACAAATTGCTACAGAAATAAACTATTACATTTATATCAGCTGTAATCGGTAGCTCCTCTAAGCTGTGCAAGTCTATGATTTCATTCTTATTACTTCATATCTTTACTTCTTTAGAAAAATACACATTATTCATTGCATGACATAATAAAGCAGAGGTCCAACTCAGATAAATATGCAACTAACTCAACTATAATTCTTTACATTAAAAGCAAATGTGACTCAATACTGTTTAATCCTAACATTCTTTATAAAACATCTAAGAGTTCCTGAGAAGTTTTAAATCCTTGTAATTGATTCAGGTGTTAAAAAGAAAAAAAAAAGTAACAAACTGTTCTCTGATGCCCTAATTTAAGGAAACAGATATTTCAACAATTTGGTATCTTGAAAGTGACATGTGATCTTTGATGTGAATAAATAGACTGTAGATCTAAAGAGAAGAAGGATCAGACCTCTCAAGAGAAAAAGAATTTCCAGAATCCAGTATGTAGCGAGATCTGTTCTATAAGAGCCCATCCACTATCAAAAGAAAAACCTTTCAAGACATACGTGCAGTTTAATGATGCTCTTCTCAGCACTACAGCCAGAGAAGGCCGAGGGGGACAACTGTTTATTTTAAAGACTTCACATTGGTATTTTCAAGAAGAGCATATTAACCTCTGACTGTTAAGCTAATCATCCAGAGCACACTAAAATAAATCACAAGATTCAGAGATGTTTACAGGACTCTTGTAAACTTATCCTCCTGTATAGAAAAAAAAAATCAAAATATGTTCCATTATCTAAGTACTGAAGCGGTATATTTACAGTGAAATTGTGCTAAAGCTGACACATATGCTATCCTGGTTATACATACCGAGGAAGTGGCTGGAAGTGATCATAGGGCATGATTTCTTTAAATCCATCACTGTCAAAAAAAATAAATATTGCATCATTATTTCTCATACCCAAGACTGTACATCAAGTACATACTTTTATGTGATCATGCTTGAGGTAAGCAAGCCCCAATGTGAAAAGCAGGAATCTTACTTCATTACCCATGAGCCTTATAGCAAACCTTATGACTTGTATAATCTTACCTTTTCTGCATGGATAAAGAACTATTCACCATACAGCTTCTCTATTTCATACCACCATTAAATATTAAATGAGCAAGCCTCCAGCAGAGAAATTTATTATCAGTGACCCTTTAGGTCTGTGTTACTTCATTAACAAAAAAATATTCACATACTTCTATATGTAACAAAGACTCCTGAGGGACATGAGTGTCAGTGAGATAAATACATCACAGAATTCATCTTAGATGGGTTCTGAATGCTGCTTAGGACCCTTCTAGAGCTGTTTATTTGAACTGCATAGCATAGAGCAGGCATAAAGCCTTACTTCCAATGCTAGGAAACATGGTATTATATCCAGTAGTACTTTCCTTTTCCTGGCTGTATAAACTAAATTTGCAAAGTAAAATATAATTACACCCTTTCTTTCCCCTAATTTTCCAATTCCAGCTTTGGAACATTTGGCACCCATTGCCATCAAGCATTACTGAAGTCTTTCTGCTTCATAGAGTGATCAACTCTCCAGGAAAAGCTCTTGAAAGTCTCCACATCTATAACTGTTAAAGGTCACTATCAACGATTACGTTCAACAGGAATGAAAGGAAATGGACAGTTTAGCTATAGGAAATAAAATCCATTGAGAGTGTTTCCTTTTCTTGCATATAACTCTAGCTCAGCCAGCTGGCATATTAATGTGAGGTTCTGGGACTTGATACTGTGATGTTATTTTAAGATTCTTTAGCACAGCCAGGAAACCTCACCAGACAATCCAAAAGTTAGTTTGAAATACTGTAGTGCAATTCAATACAATTTATGTGTACTGTAGCCTTTACAATTTGGCACTAATATCCTGTGGCGTTTGTACCAAAGGATATTTACGTGGAATGATTATTTTTAATGCCTAGTTTTAAAAAACCCAAACAAATAGACCCAAACTTGAATTATTAAATTGTCAACACTACAGTACCAATGAAGAATCAAACTTTTATGGTAGGCAAATGAATAAACCAAGTTAAACCATATGTAAAACTTGCACTGACTGGAGCTTCTGTCTGGCTGTTGAGATGTTCTGAATGGCAGCATCAATAAATCCAAAAGTAGGCAAACCCTCTGTCCTCCTCACACAACCTCACAAGATCCTCACACTAGTTCTGTGCTACTCAGCAACAGACAAAGCAGAATTAGCCCTTTAGCAAACTGATGTTTACAATATCTCCGTATAAGCAAAATCTTAAATTCTGCAACACTGAAGAAGTGCCACACATCTTCTGGCAGAGGTATCAGCCTTTAACACACACAATAACCAACCAAGAGTAAGTAGCCTTCAAGATAAAAATAATTGAAATTAAGTAAATACAGCTCCTTCTTCCTTAGTAGCTGTCTGTGTCACACACAAACTTATTTGCCATACAGACCTGGAAGGGCAGGGATCCATGTTGCATTCTTTCAGCTTGGGCTTTGGTTTCTTGTTTTCTGGATGATAATGACAGTAGTGGTCAGGAACAACACGCTTCAGACGAATGTCCACACACTCAGCTGAATTGAGCTGATAACCTAGGGTAGAAGCAAAGTCAAAATTTATTAACTGAGATAAAGTAAAACAGCCTTTTCTCCCCATGGAATTATTTTTCTGTCTTACCCTTTTTTGGTTTGGTTTTAAACAAGGAAACAGGAAATGCACAATCAGACCTTCATTTAAGACAATTCAGCACAGCAACTATATTAACCTGTCTTACCACTAAATAACCTCCAGCTCTTTATTATTTTAATATTCTAATTGTAGAGGCACACATATTTCCTTCTGATGCAGGAATACCTGTACTGCACCAGCTCACCTGTCAGAAAGCAAAGCTATGAAGCCATATGGCTCTAGCACATGTTCCACAATGTATAACTGCCCTCCTCCAAGGAGGAGTTACCAGAATGTTGGAGAGCTATATTAAACAGTCATTCATGCTAAAAGAAATAAATATTTGAGAGAGAAAGCCAGAGGAATTGAAGATGGGATCCAAAAACATTGCTAAGGAACTGCAGAAAACCAAGAAATAGATTCAAGAACATTCCGAGTTGAAGAGCCAACAAAAGACTTGAACTAACTACTCGGTGAAAAACAAATAATAAAATACGTGTGGAGACTGGTTGCAAGAAGGGATCTGTGTTTTATAAACCACTAGGTTATTTTTTGGCTAAGAAAAAAAGACTCATTCAAAAAAGCTTACTTGGACTTAAACTGAGGAGAGGAGCATGTTCTGGTATGTGCAAAGAAAAAAAATCTTAGACCACAAGAATTAAAATCAGACCGAATCAACAAACTAACAGCACAAGTCCCTGTGCCTACTGAAAATGTTAAGTATCATGTATCAGTGGCTTCAGCTGTGTGTCTCTTGGCTGATCCAAAGTGTCATCATGCATGACAGTGACAATCATAAAGAACTAAGCAGTTCCAGTGCTCACAGCATCTACATTTCATTTCTTGTAAGTACTGAAAGGACACAGAAGAAATGTCACTTGCAAACAAGAGAAACAAGTTTTAAACACACTTGTTCATTCAAGCTTGACTGTGCTCTCTGAGATGCCCCTTCCAATACATGGAGATTACAAAATTAAAGACAGAAGCAGCATCCAAGTGAGGAATGGCAATGCTCTAATTCCAAATCTCTGTTGTGAGGAACATTTTCTTTTACTGCCAGTACCAGATGCCAAACAGACAATGTGGACACTAAATCCACTCTAAGATAAGTTAAAGCCAGGAATCTGCAATACAACTTCCCTGCATGCTGTTCTTGACAATACTACTGTCATGACTGAGCAGCTCAGTTTTTGTGCTTCTTCAGTTCCTGTCCTCCCTGAGGACTGCCAAGCCCCTCTGGTAAAGGTACCAGTTTTATATTATAGGCAAGCAGCCACAGGGAGGGCTTTGAACACCCTGGATGGTTTCAAAGAGATTGACATGTAGCTATAATTTTCAAGCCATAACAGCAGTCTGAATAAGGCTGGATTTGAGCCAATACCTTTGAAGGTAAATATGTCCCTTGAGCTATCCAGTGTTTACATGCAGTCCTCAAAAGTAACTGTGATGCTTTATACTTCTTCCCTTGTCAGACAAGTTAAGGAAAAAAACGTTATAAACACAGTGTGATGGAATCATCAGAGGATATGCATTGCCACTCACAGCTCCAGCAAGGATCACTCTTCATGAGGCCAAGTGTCTTGTAAGATACAGTAGTTTCCTGTGGGACTACATATCAGACACATATATTGTCTGCATTTCAGATCACAGGGAGGTGCAAATGCCAAAACGGATGGTCCTTCAAAAGATCCCCAGACTCTGCCTGTACTTTAAACATCTCTCACTCTCTTTATTCATGCCCCAAGTAACTATTTAAACCACATTTGCACTCTCCAGAAAATCCCTGTATCGATATCACCAGCATCCTGGTCTGTTTTCCAGGTGACCTGGGAAATGCTGGCTGAAGGGAAACTGCTATCTGCAGTGTCAAACACTCCTCCTGCCATGAGCTCACACTTTTTTTGCAGAACCAGACATGACAAGCAGTGGGCTGGATAAGCTGCAGCAGAGAGAAGCTACACTTCATCTAAGCTGCAGTGCTTAAACCAGGAGTAGATGCTACAATACCACATGTGCTGCTCCAGCCACCATCAAGACTAAATGTCTGCGACCAGACAGCCAAAAGTACTGATAGCAGATGTTCTTTAAATTCTATTTACTTATTCAGCTTTCTGTAAAACTAATTCCTCAACTAAATGTTCTAAAACTCTCCCTCATGTATACTACTGAGGCCAGAAGTACTTCTTCACTTCTTGATTATTCTTATTTTAAAATCTCACCATGCTTCTTTGCTAACTTTCCCCAGATATCCACTATGAATTGCAATTTTCCATTTTGAATTTCATTTTTATTTCTTAGTCAATGTTCTTATTCAAATGAACATCAGCTATGGAAAAACATAACTTCTAGTGACAATATGTAAAAACCCCAATGCTGGTACCAGCTTAACCAGCCTGCTTAGCTGCTGCTCTGTCATTTATTTTCCTGAAGAATTACCAGTGTGCAGAGAAACACAAATATCTAATCACTAAAAATGCAGAATAAAGGTTGTAAATCAACTCCTTTTAATCTTTATTTGTTATCACTCCTGAAGAATTGACATTACTTACCTCCTCCACACGTCACTGTGCAGGGGAAGAATTCTGTTTGTCTCCACTGATGACTGATGGGTTGATAGAAGAAGAACTGAACCACACTCTCTTTTGATCCAGAGTACCTGGTCTGAAGAAATTTCCATTACAACACACATGTACACTGTACTCAACTGCTCATGCCATTTCAAAACAGAGTTCATATACAATAGCAGTGCAGAGTAAGAGGATAACAGACATAAAACGCTTAGAAAGTCTAGAGTAGCTATTAAATTTAGGCTCCCAATAGTCAAACATATGAATGTGCTTTGTTTTTCAAAGTATTCAAGGCATTAATGTGACCACTAGATTATCTATCCTCAAATAGCAAAGTTCTTAACTGTATTCTTTTGGTTTATGTCTTTGTTAGCAAAAAAATTTTAAATTTGCTGCTGCAGAAAGAAGTCTAAAAGTGATCCAAGCATACTGTCAGGCAAGTCTAGCTGCACATGATACTAGAGATACAAAAGGAAAACTACTGAAATTCTATTTCTACCATGTGACAGGTAGAGCCAGGCGGTCTGATAATACTGAAACTTCTGTCACTTCCAAAGCAAACTATATGAGTGCCTTCCTTTGGCAGTCAAATATTGATCTGTTCCTACTTAGAAATATCTTGATGTGTGATGCAAGCCACTGGTATGTATTCTGGATAGAAAGGAAATTTAAAAGGATTGGAAATGGTCAGTGGCTGGATTAGCAATGTCTGAGGGAGATTGCAGGGTGCTGCTGGAAGCAGTGCTCAGCTTCAGTAGGTGGCAGTCTGCAATTGGATTAGCTCAATCCACTGCACAGGGTCATACTCCTATTCTTCCAACAGTATTTAAAACAAAAATCCTGGCCATTTTTACCTTTAAAGATCCTGTGGTACTTTCCACCACAGGAAAGACATTAATCACGTAGCATTTTAATTTGTTTGGACTTTCTTGGCATAAATGATCTCTGGACTGTAATTAGGATTTCTTACTTGCTAGCTAAAAGATTTTGTTGTGTTGCTACACGCTGATGGACAGCCACCACTGTGCTGCACGTACTTGCAGTAACTCTGCAGATTTGTACATTCACACACCCCACCTTGATAATGAAATCTGCTCCAAGAGGTCCCTGGATCTTCATGATTTCCCTGTCTGTGCTCTTTTGAAATTCAACAGTTGTATTTTCAATGACAAATATTCCAGGAGCATTGAAACTGTGCTCTCCCTTTTCACCTTGTAGTGTTTTTGACTCTATAACTAAAGAAGAAACACGCAATTAGTAAACTTAAACAGTTTTTTTTTCAAGAAAATCCGAAAGTAATGTTTACAACTTTGTCTTGCAAGTACCAGCTGCATATGTGCAGTAAAAACACACCCAGAGAATCTGTGAGAATATTAACTGCTTCAGATTATAGGCTGATAGATAATTGCAAGACAAGTCAACACAGGAATATCTGTCTGAACACACTATTCTTTCATGCCAGAAGCACTTCTGAGACAGTTTTTCCTACACCAAGTGTTCTGTAACACTTGATATAAGCAATAGGTTGAGCAGGAAAAGTTGAAAGAAACTCAAAGTTGATAGAATCAATATAGAGAAAAATACCTCATACTTCCAGGCAACTCAAAAAGCCAAGCAATCTGAGCAGTGAGTCTCCAGAGAAGCCTGAACGCTGCCAAACCCACCTGCCACTCACCTCAATACCTGAATCACTGCACCAAGATCCTTAAGTCAGCTTTGAGCATTTCCCATGTGAGGAAAAGCTGGGCCAGGAGGTGGGCAGCTGCAGGGGACGGCCCTTTCCCAGAACAGCTGGTGATGAAAACCCTTTCTGAATTGTTCTCTACTCCTTGGAAACAGATTAAACTAGCAGCCCTCAACCTCCAGAAGACAGATGAAGCATTTTAAGATTAAATCACTTCCAGAAAGCTGACTGAACTGTAAGTGGACAAAGCTAAAGGAAGATATTCATAATGAAGGTAGAATTTTGAGCTCTGTGCAGTACAGCACAGAGGCACAGCAAGATGCATGACTTGAAATACACTGGTCTGGTTACAATCTACCAGAGCACTGCATGAGAAAAGCATGAATCTCAGATGAGCTCAGGGCAAGCTAAAAGGAATCTTTTGATGAGCTATAAATACCCTCTTTCTCCCACTACCTTGCCTTTTTTGGTACTTTAAACAAAGTTACCTAAGTCAGGCTAGACCATTTAAGCATCTGGTTTTACCTGCACTGAAAATGTACTCTGAATGCTGCAATCCATCATTAACTGTTTTCTTCCTTCATATTTTTTAAGCAAACATGTATTCTGAAGCACCCCAACAAAAAGAATAAAGAAATTATAGAATTAATTAAATTCCTTGAAAACATACCACCATTATCCCAAGCTTGTAAGCATTAAGTTCCACTGTGCTCATAGGTATAACAAAGATCACATACATGGCTGGAAGGAAGTTTCAGGAAGGATTTGTTTCTAGGAAATGACTTTATGTTAATCACAGGGTATGAATCTAGTGGTGAATAAAATGTACATTGTCAAAGAGAAAAGATAAATCTCTGGGAATCAGAATGCCCCACTGAGCAACACATTTCAATTAGGAACAAATAGATATAAACTAATCCCAGAAAAAAACAAGTATTAAGATTACTACGTATTTCTGTTTGTCACTTTATAGAAGTATCATTTCCTGATTGCATTTCAAAATAACCCTTTAAAATATATGGAACTCAGAATTCCTGGATTAAGCTTCTGCAAGCCTTGATCCCAAATTTCATGCTTAAATCACAAACTTACTGCTTGATCACAAACACTGCTTAAATGTAAGTAATAATTCATGGTGCCTATTACTGTCTCATTTTAAAAAATAAGAGTAAAATCAAATCCTAAGTACTTCCAACTTAAAATAAATTCAGTAAGATCCTCAGGAGTGCAGGACCCTTTTGAAACTAGTATTTAAGAATACAAAGCATTACAATCCAGCTGGAGCAAAAAGATGATGGAAATGTTTATTTGGTGACCTCAGCTGTCTTTTTACTATTTTTTTAAATAAATAATATTTTTGATGTTTTTCTAAGCAGAAACAAAGAATATTGTTCAGCAACTAACCAGACAGAAACTCCCAGAGAGCTGACATGTTTACATTAGAGCTACACTGGATGTGGATGCAAATCATGTGTTTATTTGCAAGGTCCAGCTATGGAGCCATGGGCTGTGTTGGGGTCACACCACTGAAGCCCAGAACAGCTGCTCAGATTTTTCCTGTGTCACACAGGGAGATGAGGAGCTATTCTGCAGCACAAGGGATAACCTCTGATGCAATGCATTCCTACTCAGTGGTACCTAGTGCTTGTCATCACAGCCTCTAGAACAGAGAGACACCAAGCATTTGGTGCATTTAACACATACATAACATAATCATGCTTATTGGACTGTTCATTTATTGATTTCAGAGAAGTAACTGAGAACATAGGTTTGATCAGCTGGTTTCATGACAAGAAAAGAATTCACCAAACATTTATTTGTTCTGCAGAGTCTGTTATACTAAAGACCTGGGAAGTTTGACTTCAGGAGTAAACTTCCTCATCCTAAATCAATTCCTTGAGACTCCAGATGTGAAGAGTCACATGGACAGGGAATTTTCTTGAGTGCTCACCTGTTTCTGTGCCTAATCACAGGACAACCACCAGTGCCAGGACCTATAACTCTCCATGTTTAGTTATTTTCCCTCCCTTTGCAAAAGTGGCAATTTTTCTGCCCAGCTGTGGACAGAAGCCCCCCATTCTCTCGGTGCAGGAAGGAGCAGGGCAGTGGGGCACAGGAACCTCCCTGTGCAGAGAGATGCACGGGAGAGTTCCCAGAGAAACAGCTCCTGCTCCCAGTCAATAGAGAGCAAGTAGGGTGCTGCCCAAAAGCTGCTTCTTTTCTGTGATTCATTTCTAGGTAGCACAATACAAAACATTCTTCTCAAAATGCAAGCAACAAGCAACCCCGTGCTCCTCTGAGCATCTGCCGAAGACAAACCCACAGCTAAAGGCTGCCACGTGATGCAAATCACTGGGAGCAGGGAAAAAATTGACAAAAAGAAAACATTTGAGTTCCTTTCAGTAACGTTTATCCTCCCTAAGTTCACGAACTCAGTTATCTAGCATTAGCCACTTGTAAAAATATTAGCTTCTGGTTTTCCTGTTTCTTCTGCTGGAGGATTAATTTCAGGGAACTTTCAGTCTTACATTTGATTCTAACGCTCTTAAAACAACTATTAGAAAAGCCATGATACAGTCCAAATCAAAAACAAAGCCAACACAATGAAACATTTTATTCAGACCCATTTTTGTCCTAATTACTTGGTAATTTTCCACCAAATCTTTCACCAACCCTAGCGGGCAGAAGTACGGGGGGGCCATATTTGTTAAAAACCCAAAGTAACATCTTGATGAATCTGCTGCCTGTCTTTAAGTGCCCAGAGGCACAAACAAAGTACTTATTCTAACCAGCCACAAAGAAATGCAGTTCTTGCTCAAACACTAACTGCAGGTTGCAAAACAATGCTCAGAGCATTTGTTTCAAATCTGTTATGTGCTACATCTCCAACCACATTTCCATTTTTGATTAGTCCAGCAGCTGTGCTTTCCTGGAACAAGACCAGATCATAAACCCAGGATGAAACCTCACAGAACAGAAGATAAAGGGAAAAGAGCCAGACACTCCATAGTGCTCTTCAAGTTTTTGCTATTGCTGCTGACTCTACTTGAAGGACAAATATATACTGGCAACAGGAGGCAGGATAAAATTTTAACAATAAGTAGTCCCTGCTTCACCTGTTAAATTCAACTCCTTGCAAGCCAGGAAAAACATCCCTGACAAATGGAACCTGCAATAATAGGTGATTTAAAAAAACCAACTCTGGCTTTAATTATACCAGCACACCCACACTGAGGTTGATGAAGCTGCAGCAAAAGATCATTTGGTATCTTCTGCTGAGTGACAAACACAATTAACCATACAGTGGGAAGGTGGAGAAGGCTCTCTGGAGCATCAGCTCCTGGAGACCTGGCTATGAAGCCAGAAGCAATTCTCACCTCCCTCCCCACAACAGCTCTCAGTTGTTTTTTACCTCTGCAATTTTAGTTTTAGGTAAAAAATGTCTAAATCCTTGCAGATTGGCAAACAGATGTGCTGGTGGAAGTGGTTAAAGGAACATTTCACAATTCCTGTCCAGCTAGAGAGTGAACTAACAAAGGTAATGCCAAGCCACAGCTTCTTTACAGAACCACCCTGGGTAGGAAGCCAGGAGCACTCTGTACTTAGTTACTGAGTTGCTGCTGCATTCCTCAGGAGCTTTCCAGAAATCCCCCAAGAACCACTCAATCTAGTACTTTTTCCTCATACAAAGCTGAAACAACAACTTTCTTCTGCAGAACTACTTAAGAAAGTCCAAGAGTCCTGACCTGAACTGGTCAGGATCACTCCTTCACACATACCCTGCAAAAGTTTTAAAGGAATATTATTTATTCCAATATAAATTCAGCTTTGTACTTTTTAAATATGAGTAGTATATCTAGAAGTTATTGTCACTCTGGAGCTGTTCTGAAGAGGGAGTTTTATTTCATTGTTTTTTCTTTGAAAGGATGTGACAATATATTTTTGAAAGCAAACAAACTTATGAGCAATTTTCAAATAAAACACTTTTTACTTCTGTTTACATATCTCAGAGCTGAAGTTCTTTCTGTTTCTATGATCCAGATTACATCTGCCACTTCTACAAATAAAAAATTGTTCAAAGTTAAAGGAATAGTTTATCTCATTGCTTGGTATAGCAATATCACTTATCATTGAAACCATCAATTCTCTTGGCAAACTAGGCCTATGGATAAAGAAATTGCCATAAATACTGCCATCAGCCTTATAAGAAAATATTGGAAAACAATATTTTGTTATTCTTACAGAATAACAAACTGTTTCTCATTGGTGGTACGTAATGACTGAAATATTTACATGGAAACAGGACTTCTGTAGTCATTCACCCTACTTCATTTGTTCCTAGATCACTTGTCCAAGGCTTCAACAGAAATCTGGTGCTGAGTTATGCAGGGGTTGTTGGTTCCACACATAATCCTCTGGAAGTTTTTATTTTATTTTTTTTTTTTTGCATGTTGTTTAAGAGTTTAAGAGTATTTGAGATGCCTTATATTGGTTTAAATGGCAGGAATAGAAACCACCACTATATATTCTACTTCCTTTTACCAAGTAAACTTTCCAGTGTTCTCTAGGACTCCCTCCAGGTTGGATATTAAAGATGGGAAGAGGAATCAAAGTATCGAGGTCATGATCTTACCCATATTTTCCAAAGTTTGGATGAGTTCAGATACAAGGTTCTGTTTTTATCTTCTGCCTATGTATAAATACATAAAACAGCTCAGTCATACCAAGGTGTGCTGGTCCTTTCAGGGTAATTCTCACACTGCGACTCCCATGTGGTACAGCAATCACAGTTTCTTCTCCTACAAACATTAAACAACTGTTTTAGAAGTTATCTTTCATCAGGGAATTTTTACATCACATAATTAGACTGAAAACCATCAAATGTGTCTAAGAAAATATTTCACAGCTTTTACAATTTTTCTATTAAAAATACTACATTACTTTATTAAGTACAGTGTACTGAGTCTGTTTGCTATGTCATGCAACTCTTAAGACCTACAAATGGACTTGTAAATCTTGCTTTCTCTAGGAAAATAATTTGGTATTAACAATAACAACTGAAATGTCAGTAGTGTATTAGGAACATATTTGCACTCTGTTGTCCTAGTTTTATTTTCTAATCACTGAATTGACATAAGGAATCTGCTAAGTAGTCCTTCCCCCTTACAAAAATCTGCAGCTGTTCAGTCTCATTTTGCCCACACCTCATTTCCTGCTGCAGGTCACAACTTTAATAAGTGGCAGGACTTACAGGAAATAAATCATCTACTTAACACTAGCCCTTAACCAATTACAGACCAGTTAAGAGCAAATATATAATAGCTATAAGGTATATGTTATAATAGTGTCTGCATCTAACTTACCATATAAGATCATTTCTTCCAGTAAGAGGCTCAATTTAAAATGAACTATAAACCAAACCAGCCCCCAACAGGACATATCAATACAAAACAGCTTTTGGCTGCCTGAAAGGCCTCTTCATATATAAATGTGCAACACACTTACTTCAGTGCATTTTACAAAGGCAGAAAGGTATTACTTCTCATTTCAAATGTAGGAAATCTGTGATTTGCCTGAGCAAACTGAGTTACCAGTCAAATCAGCAGGCTAGAGACTCTTATGCCAACAAAAGCAGAGCTCTCAGAAGAGGGTATCCACAGGGATATCCAGAAAGGAAGAGAGAAGCATCCAAGGAGCTGTCACCCATTTCCATCATGGCCCAAGTGTGTATCTTCTGTAAGGCAGGCCCTGCCACATGTGCCCTCTGCAGCTGCACCCTGACAAGATGCTCTGTTTGCTGATGAAACTAATGCACATTCAGTGGCTGGTGCAGAGGAAGTTCCTTTTGAAAGTAATGTGTGTTGAAAGTCACTGATACACTGGCTCCAGAATTACCCGTAAAATATTTAGAGGAAGAATAGTTGAGTTTAGTTTTAACAAAAAAAAAAAAAAAAAAAAAAAAAAAAAAGTTTAAAAAGGTTTCTTTCCACTTTAAACCGAACCCCATTATAGTAGATGCTAAATTATCAGCTTCTGGTTTACATCTCCTTAGTATAAGTATGATTTCCTGCCAAATGTTCAAAATACTTCAAGCAAATACTGCAATTATTTTTTCTGAAATAAACACCTTCTTATGTTACAGTTTTTATATCGTCAATTTCTAGGAAGGACATTTAAATATAACAATTTATTTTTGATGTAATAAAATATGAGCTTTATTAATTTCATTCTTGTGTATTCCACCAAAGTGAAAAATACTACAGTAAAACAATAATACAACTAAGAAGTCCTGGAAAAAACATTAACTACTGAACCACTTAATATCTTTCTGCATCTTGGTTTTTCATCAGAGGAATTGCTAAAGATAGCCAGGAGGTAGTGGGTGTGTATATCTTTAAAGTAAGGAAATAACTACTGAATTCACATGTGCTTGACAGTATTTGAGAGAAAGCAGGTTTGGGGGGCCCATCTGGCCTTACTTGGTCAGGAACTGAATCCCATCCTGGTAACAACCAGTGGTCAGTCACAGCACAGCACCTCGAGCAAAAGCCAGATGATGACCAGCTCAGAATACAGGACCTGCTGCTCTCAGATGGGACCGAGGGCAGCCCAGGTGTGCAGATGTGCACAGATGTGCAGGACTCTGGGGAACAACCAGGGTCATCCTGCTGAGCTCCCTGCACCTCCCCACAGGCAGCTCCGCTGGCCCCACAGACCCTGCAGATCCCTTTCCAGGATGCCTCACATTCCTTTAGCAGTACTACAGACATTCCACCCTCACCGAAGCACTCTCTGATATGGTCCAAAAGTCTCATGGGGGTGCTAAATTTGGTGTTTCTCTGCAGCACAGACAATATTACCAGAAAGTGTTTTATTTGCATTAGAGATGACTAAGCTCACCACCGCAGCAGCAGGCAACCTCTGCAGCCCACAGACCTGTCAAGAAGTCTGACAGCAGGAGATTTTTGTAACCTGACTGAGATAATTATGACCTAGGGCAGTCTTTCCTTGAGATGAAGTAAATTATAGGAAAAAATAAATGTGAGATTTTTGGACTTCTGAACAGAGATGAGTGTTTGGAAGAAACAGGACAGAACTGACCATAAGGGATTCCTCCTTGTCTTAGGGACAGCTTTGAAACAATAGTTAAGGTTGTCCAGGTCTGGCTCCAAAACTATATATTCTAAAGGTCTCTGGTTCTCAGTTGAATGTAATTCATATTCTTAAAGAAACAAGAGGCTCTGTAAACCCATTTAAAATGGTTATACTGTATATTTCCCATTAAATCAGTAGGGTCCACAGTGCTAAAAGCAGTGAACTCTTACAAAAACATAAGGGGAAATTGCTACTCTGAAATCCATACTGAGAATTTTCAATTACCTTTTTTTTTTTTCCCTTTACAGTATTTCTTTGAAAGTTAATTGCTGACCTTTGTCTAAAGATGAAAACAAATTAGCCCAAATTCAGCTGGATCATGCAGAAACATTAAAATCTAAATCTGAGCTCAGATTAAGGCTCACCTTAAAAACTGAGAAACAGGTGAGGTATTGTGTCTCTATTCCAACACTCTTTTCAGGATTGGGATTCCCAGCAGCACATGGAGTCATCTCCCTCCACTCTCACCAAGAGACACTCAGCAAATGTGTGCACACAACACAGCACTTGCTGATTAAGCTCCTGGATTACTTTTACTTTAGATGTCAAGGTTTGATCCTGTTTCTATGGTGTTAATGTGGATTTAGATTTTGGATCTCAATGAGAGCAAGATCAGACTCCCTGCTATGGTAAGACTGGGAGCTAATCCCCAGGATCAAAATAAAGGAGCCACATTCCTAAACTCAATCCAGTTCAGCAGGTTTTATTTATTTTTCCATGTGGGCCATGGTGGACCCATTTACTGTTTCACATATGGGCCAGTTGGGATTTTTCCCTCTCTCTTCTTATAGCAGGCCAGAGGGTTTATTTCAGGTCTATAAAAAGTGTTTCTTTCTATGTATTTGCTCAGAACTTATTTTCTGGTTCCCTGATTCTTATTGAAGACCTTTGTGCTCTCAAAGTACAAACAATAATCCAGGAACAACTACAGCACACAGGAAGTAAAAATCTCAAAATATTTGGAGTCTTATTGCAGTGGCTTTCCTCATCCATTCTGGCATCAGGCATAATTCCAGAAGGCACTGCTGCCCTTGTGCACTTCTGGGCTTTGTGCTGACCCGCCTAATGAAAGCAAAGCCAAGTACATGCACTGGAGAAAACATAAAAGACATGCAGTAAACAGCCCCTCAATGAATCTTAAGGAAATGCAGTACAAAATAAGTCATGAAATAGCCAATGTCCTTACAAGGAAATTTCTTCAAGACAAAAGGGACCATGACATTACAGAAGGAAGCTTCATACTACCTGTAACAGCCCCAGATAAACTAACCAAAATAAAGGGATGGCTAGACTGGAACAGCTGGTGCTGAAGACCCAGCATCCACACTACAAAATTACAGGTGCCTCGTTGGGACTAATTCTAGTCTGATCCCCTGGACTGTATATTCTCCCCTGTAGCTGCTGGAGAACATCAGGTGCTTTTCTGGGACACATCTTCTGGTTTAGCTTCATCCAAAAAATTCCAATTTATGCTCCGCAAGACCATGCTGTGATGTGAACTGATGAACAGTATGTTAGGGCCATGATGAAATTTGCTTCAAAAAACACGTTCCTTATCCATACTGGAACCCTAATGCACTGGCACCCTCCCCACACACAGTTTTCCTGCCAAACCAGTCCCAATTCCCTCTTCTGGCTCTACAGATAGCTGATTTCCCCCCTTCCTCTCCAAGTGTTTTTGACTCCATCTCCCACCCAGATTCCTTATCTAATCTCAGTCTTCTCTTCCTCTTTTCTTTGACTCAGTGTGTCTGTACACTCAGTCCCACAACCTCCACCCACCTTCTCACATCTGCCTTTCCTTCACTGCATGAACTAATGGCAAATCTTTCTGTTCAGCTCATCTCATCTTTCCCTCTCCTCATGTGAGCTCATCACTCCCTGTCATAAGTCCGAAGCTCAGGAGATTGGAAGCTCTCCACAAAATCTCTTTGGAATGCCTGAATGTGAGGTAGGAGGCATCACAGAGTTCATCCCATGGCACCTGGTCCACATTGCAGTAAAGCAGAAAGCAAGAGCAACCTCAAGGAAAAAATTTAAGAGTTTATTTCTGGAAGAGCAACATGTTAATGTATTCTAAGGAGGTTAGACACATGCAATCTGTTTGCAGTCAGGACTTGTAACAAGCTAGAGAACACTTAAAAGGATAAGTTTTCAGAAATTTCAGCTGTTAACATCCAAGAAGATTCCACTGAAACTGAAGGAAAAGGTTGGGGATTTTTGTAAAGGTTGTAGTAAAATATGTGTTGATGTTCACAGACATTGCAAAAGACTTATCCATGACCAGAAGATCATTGCCTGCCAAATTTCAAATCCCTGATCTGTGATCAAGTCCAACAATGGGGGATTTTAAGACATATTAAATAAAAGGTTTCAAGAATGTTTTGACAGTGGGAAACAACATGTTTTTTCTCTTCTGTGTCCTTGGAATATGCTGAGCTGTTTTGGCTGAATTTTCTCCAAAACACATAGCACCTGGCATGAGAAGTTACTGACACAACTGTCTAATTTTGGCAAATAATCCTTCATACAAAATGAAGTATCAGGCAACCTTGACAATTGCTAGCTCCATGTACATTTATTTCAAAGAGGGAAAATGATGTGAGGCAAGAAGTTGTCACAAAGTTGAGCTGGCTGATGACACAGAAGAGGGAGCTGTGCCAAAGGCCTCTGTTTAGATGAATGACCGAAGTAAAATTAGGTTTTTGGTTAAGCACGCTTGGGGATGATGGCACACATCATGTGAGAAGAAGTGACCATTGGTTACTACTCAAGCGCCATAGGAAATAAAGCACATGGCAAAAGGAAATTCAAACAGTTACAAAGCCATCACCAGTGGAAACTTTTATAAGAAGCTCTTTAGCAAAACATTAAGGCAAAACTTGCAAGTACTTTGCACTTTGGGAATCAAATAAAACCAGACTGGGACAAGTCCATGCCTTCAACTTCACCCCACATTAAACCAGCATCTTTCCTTCTTTGTTGATATCAGAACCAGAACATTTTTCTGCCTTTTCTGGCCAACATTGGTGCAGGAAGCAGATATGAGGGCCCAATCCTACGATTTTTCCATGTGCACAAAGTGCAGTAGAGTTAATGGCAGTTCCATGCATTTAGTACTAGAAGCTTCAGGCCCATGATATCTCATTTCCCAGTGGGATGGCACATTTTACAACCTATTACACTTTTTGTTTGAATATCGTTAGTCAAACCTTTAATCATTTTACCAGAATGTTAGAATCTGGCTTGCTGACAGAAGTTTAACTTACTTTGTCTTTCAAAGGCAATTTAGTGTTAGTGGAAAAAATAAACTTTTGAAATAATTGTTCCTTCCATATTTGCAAAACAGTAAGCTCTCTTTCACTGCTGTTTAACTTTCTGATCAAAGACATTAACTTAATATAAAAACATATAAAAAAGATAATAAAACAAAATTAGTCCTTCATGAGAAATCATTTGCTATCAATGCCTAAATTCCTTTGTTTTAAAATAAAGCCTAAGATAACCAAGCACTTTATTTCCCCTTATGACCCTTTTTTAAACTAAAATCTTTGGCTCTTGCTTTCCTTCCAGTTCTTTAATTTGCTTCATTGAACAGTAAAATTTACATCCTGCTCACAGCCTTAAGCACCCTCTTAAATACATTTCTGTCATGTGTCGATATTTTCTCAACACTAAATCTGAAAGCTTCCAAATGACTCTGGAAGATAATGTGCTTCCCTACACTGATATTTTACCACAAAGAAAGGATGGTTTTATTTCCACATTTCATTCACACACAGGATGATTATATGGAACTCATTGCATAGTGTTGAACAACTTGACCCAAAATATATTTTGGCACCATCACAATAACCAAGAAAAACGTAAAGTTCTGAATTTAGTAACATGTGTACTGTTTTCCTTATGCCAGTGGTAATTCATTCATATCATCCAGCCTACTTCAGTGCAAGATAAACCCAAAACTTGGCAAAACTGACATCTTTCCTCAGAATAGTCTTTTTTGGTCTTTAATTTTAAAGGACTCTTAAGGAAACTTTGGATTATGACAGAGGAAACAATGAACCATGGGCATTCTTCAGAACCTTTAGGGCAGTGGGAGACCTTCCACCAAGTGATGTCAGCTCTAGTCAGCTCTTACCTAAGCCAGAGTACCACAAGTGAAATTAATATTTTCTATCACAAAATGACAGTTTCAAAACCAGATCCCTTTTGCCACTTTGTCTTTACCGTACTTCTATTCTAAGCAGCAATTAAATATGCAATTTTTAATTTCATTTATCATGAACTATCCAGTCAAAGTCACCAATCCAAAAAGTTTATTTGGGCTGCCTTAGAACTAGCTATGGTGTCCCCAGGAATCATTCTTCCCCAGGAGAATCTCTGGTGCTGTAAAGCTGGAATAGACAACACAAATCCCTTCAATTCCAGTTGACCCTCACATCAGAAAGGGAAAGAGTTATTTTGTTTATATATATCCTTATATATCTGTATCTATCTATATATAGACACAAAACAAATACAGCTTGGAGACATTACAAAAGTATTTGCTTTACAAGGACTTGCTCTATGCTGACCAGAAGCTCCGAGTCTTTGATATGGCAAATGAATAAAATGTGGCCCCTCATGAAAATTCTTTTTCAGTTCATTGTAAGCATCCAAGACATTTTCTCATCTTTCATCTATAAATTACTGAACTACACTCTCCCATCAATAAAAAAAGACCTTTAGTCAAAGCAAGACAAAGGTTAACACTGATAGACGATCTAATATGTAAAAAAGGCTCTTTGACTTGTGGAAAATTATCCTATGACTTTACAAGTTGCTGCCACACAACCAGACACTTTTTAATTTAGATTGTCTTTGCTATATATGTGTATTGAATTACAGAAATTATGCTCCTGCATGGTGGTACCAAACACTGTTCCAGGGCAGTACAAGACACCACACTGCAAAGCAATGAGCATTGAGATAACAAATAAACTACTCCAAGTTACATCCAAACTGAAGCATACTGCAAACAGTGTCATAAAAAACCCATGGGAATAGTTATATATACTGCAATAAGATTTTTAGCATGATTCAATATACAAAGCTCTTTCAAAATCAGGGCACAAGTGAAATCTTTGCAAGCTGAAATACAACAGTATTAAAACAGGCAACTGCCAGTGGCAGGTGCTTCATGCATGAAAAAGAAAAGCTGGTTAAATTTGAACTTTGAGCACTGACTTTAAGAGCACCCTTCTATCTGGTGACTTTGCAAGAAGGTAATTAACCCCAAAGGCTCCATCCCCTTGTGACAAATGCACCCTGTGAGTTCAGAAAAAGAAAAATTTATGTGAGGCAACTATTCGTATGATAAACACATGGGACATGTGCTGTGACATTCCAGGGAGCATCATCTGTGAGGGTGGAGAGCACCAGTGTCAGAGGGGAATCTTTGTTTGGAAAACCTTGCTTGCATATCAAAACAGCCAGCCTCTTCAGACTCCAATAAAGGGTCTACTTCCAATACCTTTCCTTGCTTCATATTTTATATTTTCAATATTACTGAGACCAACAGAGTTACTCCCACTAAGATGTGAATTATTTTGAGAAAGAATGGTGGAATTTGAGCCAAACACACAGAAAAAGAGATGGAAGTATCAGTCCCTTTCACTTTGTGCTTTTTGTACCATAGAATACCATAGAAGTAGTAACTTGCCCCTGAAGTTCAACTGTCATCAGACACCACAAAAAAAAAAAAAAAAAAAAAAAAAAAAAAAAAAAAAAAAAAAAAAAAAAAAAAAAAAAAAAAAAAAAAAAAAAAAAAAAAATCCAAGTTAATTTGAAAACCAGGTACTTATAAGCACAGGCCACTATTTCCATAAAACCATATATAAGATTAAAACCATCTATAAGATATTTCCATGGATTAAAAACATTGCTGCAGCATCACATATACATGAGGATACCCTCTAAAATAAGATGTTCATCTTGATGGTTATTCCTGATAGAATGAATTGAGTGGCTCCATTAAAAAAAAAAATGCATATCTCAAATTCTTTCCTAGCTATACTCGAATGTGTGGTATCCCTCTCGGAATTTCAGTAGACTAATCTAGCACAGACTTTAGAATAAGTAGCTTTGCAAAACTGCAAACAAGCGTATGGCTAAAAGGTCACTGCCATACGCATGCAAATATACAAGCAGAAAACACAGTCAAGGGTAAATTACCATAGGATCAATTTGCAACCTACTTTTTTCTGGTGAGACATGTGCCTTAGCTTGTCCCCTCACAAGCCTGCAGGTCGAGCCATCTCCTGCACAGATTCCACAGTTGTCTTCCTTGGCATTGCTCCCGAGTTGTCGATCGCAGCCCACTGCCTGCCAACATCAACAGCACAGTCAGGAGGGCAAAGCTGTAGTAGACATGCTCAGGTTTCTGGAATTTTATTTATTATGTTATCCTTTTGATTTTATGAGTTGGCCTCATTCTATCAAAGCATATCTTGCCGTTTAGGGTTTTAAAAGCATGCTGTCATTTCCATGATTTTAATGATGAACCACAACAACTAATATATTAAGCTATTCAAGCATAGGACATACATGAATCCGTTTCCCACTACTTATGTGAATGAATACCATTGAGCATTATTCTTTCCAAGACAAGGCATAACTATGTTATTTACAATTTGGTTTTCATCACCTGTTTAATTATGTATGAGAAAGGACAAATGCAATTAAATAATCCAAGTTAAAATTTAAAGGGCTTCACAGACAGGGAGTTGAGGGCAGTTCTAACATTCTAGTGTCTTGGCTATTCAGAATTTAACTGGCACTAGTGTAGATCTATTTGCCATTTACATCAATGTCCATTACACACACATTTGCTAACCAGCTTTTAAAAAACTCAGATGATTCACTTCTCACCTTCGGATTTTTTTTGATTTATGAATATCAGACCCATTCTATAAAACTTTCCAAAGATTATTATAAAACACCCAAACTTAAACACTGCCAAAAATTCAAAAAGCAATTAAAAAAACCCAAAAACCCTGTCAACTGAAACCCCTCCAAATTATAATGAAAACATTTTGCCAGGTTTTTCTTTTTCTGCATATCAGTCAACTCCACAAGAAAGATAGGAACAAGAATGGAAAAACAAAGAACAAAGTTGACTAAATGTACCTTCTTGATGAATGGAAGATAAATATTTGGCCTTAACTATCTTACTCTTCACCATTCCACAGAATAATTTTTCAGGGAGTACCACATGCTCAACAATGTGGTAAAAAGCTGATCTCCAGCTTCAAGTTTTCTCAGGTCAGCCTACCTGCCTCTTACATTCACATATCCCTGAGAAGGGCAGCTAATTTGTAAGGGCAGCTAATTTGTCATGGGTGTATATATTTAACAAAAATCCAAACTGACAAACGGATAGAAAACCCTCTGGAAACTCGGAGTTAAAAGCAGTGCTAGAATTCCGAAACTGGCCAGCACACGCCTCTTCCTATATAAAAATGCTTGGAAGGGGCCGTGTGAGCTGCCCAGATGCAGTGCGCCCGTGCTGTGCCAGAGCTGACACTCGATCCCTTGCAGAGGAGAGGATCCAGTCCACACGTCAGGGGCAGGCTGGTCCAGCCTGAGTCAACACACACACACAGACACACAGATCACACCCACCCGCTGCCAAACGCGGAGAAATGCAATCTCAAAGTTTCACGTGTCTGTGGAAAAGAAAACAAAGCAGCCCCACCTCCCCCTTCAGCCCCTTTCCCTTCTTTTCCCGATTCCCTACAGCCTGAATTCCCTTTAGAGGAGGGCATTAATGGGCGCAGTTTGCAGTCCTTCACTTGAGAGACCTGCAGGGAAGGCATCTCCTCCCTAAGGGCTTCAGATTCACCAGAGAAACCTACATTAGCAGCAGGAAATCATTTTATTCCTGCAATTGAAGGGGACCTTAATTCTAGCCCAGCAATGGTTTAATTTTTAAAATAAATAAGCCACTTAACACTAGCAGTAAATAATTTCTTCTTTAACAAAAACTTAGTTGTAAAAATAAAGCAAATGTACACACATGTGAACTCAGAACAGGTGCTTATTTACCACACAGAAGTCATGTGGGAGCACTGTACTGTAATTTAGGTATGGATTATAGATTAAAGTATTTGCACTTTAAGTTGTCTTTAGCATTAGCATTAGCATTAGCTCTGGGTTCATTATTGATGCTCAGAAAAACATAAAAAGGAAAAGGTTGTAAACAAATTACTATAAACAATTCTATCTTCACACTTTATAAACAATTAACATTGAAATGAATGAAAACACCATTTAAGGAACAGAAACTGACCGGGGCACTCTGTGAATCAGAAAGCAGATGAAATTTCATGGCACATGATAATACAGTGCTCGACACATTTGCCTCAGCATTGACAACTTCAGTTCCCAACTCCACAAGAAACTTTCTTTTCTGACCTTTGAAAATTCCTGTGCTTTTCCATTCCAACCCATGGAAGGGGTCTGAATGCAGATCCCCAGCTGAGAGAGATGTTGCACCTCCTAAAGTTTGTGAAGCTTGTGGTGCAGTGATGGAGGCCATACCAGTGGTTGAGAGTCTGTATTTCCATTTGGAAGACTTTTAAAGTTGTTACTGCTCTCCTGCCCTTATTCACATAAAGTTACTACTGGAACATGGAGATAAATTGTATCACTGCAAGTGTAATCTCTCTACAAATGTCTCAAACACATCTCCATTTCATAGTGTAATCTCCTTTTCTAAATACTAAAAAACTGTTTATTTACTCGTCAATTAATTTCAAAGGGAAAAATAAGCTGCACGTTGTGATACCCTGTGTGGAAAAGTGATTTTTTTCTCAGTTTAATCTCTTGCATATTTGTAGGCTACTGATGCTGCAAGTCTTTAGTGGGAGGAGGGCTTTGAGCAAGCAGAGCAAGACCAGCCCATTAGGGCCCAACGTGACAATAACAAACATCCATGGCAATAACAAAACACACAGCCCCTGTGAAAACAAGCTCCCACTGGGTGTAACAAAAATCACACAACTGTGCAAACACAAGGCGTTATTGTGTCCTACACGGAATGTACAAAAAGATAATCAGCGCAGCAGCATACTTTAGAGGACTGTTTCATATAGTATTATTGCTTATTTTTTAATAATACACAAATGCCACAGAAATAAAACAGGAGTGCTAGCTGCAAGGGACTTGGATGTGGGAAAAGGTTTACAGCTCCCCTGACAGCAAAGGTGGTGTGTTCAGCATTCACCCTCTGCAGATTTCCTTCCCAGATTATATTTACATCAGCTGTTATAAATATGAATATCAAGCAATGATATCTGAGAACACAATTTAGAAAACAACTCAAATTATAATCACAAAATTGACTTGAAGTGAGCATAGAATTCCAGATTTTGTGAAGGACCCAAAAATTTCACAGGTTTTTAAGTGACAAGCCACAAATGTAGAGCTAATTCAAATAGGAATCTTAATGAGGGAACACTGGGATGGGACATATTTCAAACCTCAGAGTCTAGAGCCAGCCTTTTTTATCTGTTTGTAAACCCTTGATCAGGTATGTCTCAGGTGAGCTGAACAGCCACAGATCTCACCAGAAAAGGAATCTGTGAGGTACAGCCTTGGAAACTGGTCTCAAAAACATGGCATTGTGACACAAAATATTATGAATTAAAGGTATTCATATTTTAGCCAATAACTACTGGAGAGAAAAAAAGAGTGATGAAACATTTTGAAGACAGTAAATTTGGTTATTTGCAAATAAAGCTGCTAGAAGGACAAGAAAATGAAAAATGGCAACAGCCTTCCTCTGCTCACACTGTACCTCAGCCAGCCAAAGAAGCTGATGATTTTCACAATTAAAGCATTTTGTGGGATTAATTTACCCCATATTGTTTGTTGTTTACAGAGCAAAGGGATCAGCTGTAAATATTACAGGCAGACTGGGAAAACATCTGCAGGCTTTTAGGGCATAGTCAGAAATAATATTAGGTGATTTTAACATAGTCTGAATAAATGAAACAAGTGATAACACAAACTGTGTAATGGAAGGGTTGGGACCCTGTGAATTTAAGACATTTTTAATCATAAATATCATCATACCAAAAAAAAATACAGGTATTTTAATGACCAGGTTGTAATTGAGCTCCTCAGACAGCAGGGAGAATATTCACCAATATGTAACAAAACAAACAGCAAGTAGAAATTTAATATAAGAATAATATTGAGGAAGTGAGCAGTTTTTGCATTTATAAAATTGTTCATGTTGAGGTATCAATGAATTCGGATATAGCAAACATATAAATATATTTTTAGAAACAGGTCTCCAATCCATTACTGTTTTTGGACAGAACTTGAATGTGTTACTTGTCTGTTCTTACAAAGGGGAAAGAAAGAAATATTAAAAAGAATTACATAGTTTACAGAACTATACATACTTTTCTCACGTGCAGCTCAGACAGAAAGCAGCTGGTTAAGCAGTGAACAACACCACTCATCTGCTCCAACAAACCTCAGCATGGCAGGGCTGTGGTGAACGACAGTCCTGAAGGGTGTTAAATACTTTGGAGCATGCTTAGAATAGTTCATGTAGGTTCAGAAAGGCAAAGGAAGAGCAAAAGGTCAGGTATAAAATACAGTAATATAGATGAAAGGGAAGAATGAGATCACTGCTGATATGTTAAAGTGACTATGGAACATTACAAAAATTTTTTGCAAATATAAATCCAAAAATCACTCAGGAGCTCATGTAAAACTGTTTCTTTAGGTCTTATTCAATTAGTAGTGTTTCAGCTGAGGAATTGGGCTTAAAGAAATTCATGTAGCATGTTAATTTTGATTTGTGAAGGTCCAAGAATAATCTGTTAAACTCAAAAAAGCTTCTTTTTTTAAGATGTTTATAATTAAGTATGATAAGAAAACTGGCAGGACTGCAAGGTGACAGAATTTTTACTGAAATTCCAAAATGGTAAAAAAGCACCATAATGAAAAACAAGGCAAACCCCACCCACACCCTCCCTCCCTCCTTTCAGAGACTTCTCTTAATAAGTGTAAACACAAACATGGACTAGAATTGCCAGTGCAGAATGTGGTACAGAATTAAGTTTCAAAATTTCATCATTTGCTTGTTATACCATTGCTTTATCCCTCCTAAATTCAATTATTCAAAAAGTTTTCTGGAATACCAATGACTCGAGATTATATACTTCAAATAAATAAATTGAAGATACACCTACACTTCATAAGGTAAAAATATTTATTTCAGAGATGAGTAAAACCAGACATCTCTGAATAATGAGCATCAACTAAGTGTTAAGTGTCATTATTACTATCAAAGCATGAAATCATAT